ATTACTTTGAATGCTAAAAACCATTCCTCTACAAGTTCCAAGTTCCACTATGTTTTTTTTTTTTTTTTAATTTTGGTTTTGTTTACCTGCAATTTTGTACCTCATATCAAACATGTATCTTATTACTTTTTCTTACGGAAACTGATGTCTCAATATGATTTACTAAGAAGTGTGTGCTCTCCCTTTACAGCTGTGTTATATACCATCTCCATTAGCTTTATGTCAAAGATTTTGCTAGAACAACTGTACACATCTATGGGGTGTATTTGATAATTTGACACATGTATGCAGTATGTAATGATCAAATCAGAGTAAAAGTTTCCCAAAATTCTTGAGTTTACTCTTCCTGATGGTCCACTGGCAATTTTTCTTGTAACCCTGCTTCCAAACCACAATTCTCACCACCCCAACCTTAGCGGTCTTTCAGTACCCGGTAGAGCAAGTCTCACATCTTGTTTTTCCGTCATAAATCTACTGCTGGTTCTTGAACTATCACTTCCCACATGGTTTTAGATGGGTTTTCCAAGATTCATTAAAAACAAACAAAACCAACCTTGGTTTCTTCTTTTTTTCTTTTTTCTTTTTTCTTTTTTTTTTCGTTTTTTGTGGGAGGGTTGTCACTGATCTATAGACCAAGTTGGAGAGAATTCAGTCTAACTAGTCTTTTGCATTTGTGTGTGTGATAGGACATGTCATTCTGTAAATATGTTTCTTAATGAATAAAGCACTGTTGGCCAATAGGAAAGCAAGATAGGCGGGACTAGGAGAAGGAGAAAAGAGGAAGTAGTAATAGTAAGGAGGAGTCAACATGGAGAGTCTGGAGAGAGCAGGACGCCAGCTGGCTCTCCAGTAAGATGAGACCACGTGGAAGTACTTAGATTAATAGAAATGGGTTAATAATTAAGACCGAGCTAGCTGATAAGAAACTAGTACCTGGCCAACAGCATTACACCTAATACAGAGTCTCTGTATGTTATTTGGGGCTGGTGTGGCGGCGGGACAAGACCAGCGCGGGCAGAAAAACTCACTCATGTTAGTGTGCTCCACAGGACGCTCCTCCGGCTCATTCACATCAAGGTCTCCGGTCCAACTGAAGCCCTAGGTGGTTGGGCACACCTTTAATCCCAGCACTTGGGAGACATAGGCAGATGAGTCTATGGCCAGCCAGGGCGGTTACACAGAAAAAGTGTCTCCAAAAAAAAAAAAAAGTGGGCAAACCATAAAGCCCTTTTCAAGCCTGTGTTTGTGCCTCATTTGCCAAAAACATCCAAATGGCCAAGGCAAACTTCAAAGGGGGGAGCAATCGGTTCCTCTGGACGAGAGGGCAGCACAGTCTTATTGCAAGTCTTTGGACACTGAAACCCTGGCACTGTCTCTACGGAACCACCACAGACCACCTCCGTAGTCCGTTATCTCCTCATCTTACTGAACCATAGGTGTTTTATGGTTAGACCCTTTCCACTGATCCCAACCTGCTTGCTTAGTTTACAATGCTTCTTTTGACTCACGCATTTCTATCCTTGCTTGACTTGGTCCGCCCAGGGTTTTCCCTTTGGCTTCTAACTCCTGGCTTACACAGCCCCTGGCGTTCTCCTATAGGCCACCCATCTCCCACCCCTCCTCTGCCGCTTTCTCGGTGCTCTTGAAACAACTCCTTCACAGCGCAGGACACGTTACAAATCCCGGGACTCACTTTACTCCGTCCTGTCCTCCGTTTTTCTTCCTCACAATTGCGCATGCTTCAACTACCAAACTTTCTACCACCGTGGTTCAAGAACAGCCTGAATCAGGGTGTGATGAGGATGGGGCGAAGATGAGGCAGGCGGGCAAAGATGTGTTAAACTGCGCTCGTCACGAGGCAGCAATCTATCGGATGTCTCAGTAGGGCCAGTGAGACGGCTTGGCAGATGGGCACTTGCTGCAGAAGCATGGGGACATGAATTCTGTCCCTGGAACCCGACCCCGCCCCCCCCCAAAAAAAAGTGAAAGGAGAGGATTAACTTCATAAAATTGTCTTCTGGCCTCCCACACATGTATCCTGACACATCCCCTCTCCCCTACAGTAATAATGGATAAAAAATAATAATAATAACAATTTGAAAATGCCTTACTGTGTGTTGGCTATATTTTGCCAGTTTGGCAGAAGCCAAGGAATCATCAATGACAACTGAGAAAATACCTCCAAAAGATCAGCCTTTAAGGCAAGCCTGTGGGGACATTTTCTTGAATGGATTGCTGTGGGTGAGCCCAGCCCATGGTAAGTGCTGCCACCTCCTGGGCAGTTGGTCCTGAGCTGTCTAAAAAAGCAATCTGAGCAAGCCATGCATGGGGGGGGGGGGCATTCAGCAGCACTCCTCCGGGGCTTTTGATTGGACCCCTGTTTGCAGGTTCCTGCCTTTGAGTTCCTGTCCTGACTTTTCCTAATGATTGGCTGTGAATTGGAAGTGTAAAATTTGCTTTTGGTCACAGCGTTTTATCACAGCCACAGAAACCCTAAGACAGCAGGTAAATGACTACTGAAAGGTCATGCGGTATGAACCTGGGATTGATGGGTAAGAACAAGGCAAAAAGAATCAGTAAGATTCACTCCAGACACAGGCACACCTCTACATGCACAGCGCACTTGTGAGAACACAATGTTGCTGGCACAGAGAAAGGTCCAAAGGGAAGCTGACGGGGGAGGGGAGGCAGAAGGAAGGGCCAGTTATGAATTAGAAAGCTACATTAAATTTTCAATGTTTTTCTGTGCTGGGGCGGTAAGCCGAGGCCATTAGCATGTGCAGCAAGTCCTCTAGCACGGAGTCACATATTAGCTGCGCTTCTTGCAAACACTTATCCCATCAATAATGAAACATTTCAAAGTCGGTTGCATTTTAATCACCAGATTTGAATTTTGCAATGATTTCGAGTATAGCAGCTTGTCTTCAACTTGAGCAATCTAGGAACTTGGTCTCTCTCTCTCTCTCTTTCACACACACACACACACACACACACACACACACACACACAGCTTCACAGGAGAACAGTGCTCTTGTGGGCTTCACACGCCTCCTCTGGATGAAAGACTCCATTTCTCAGGCCAGAGCCTAGAATAAACTCATCACTGTATTCATTCCCAATCAGGACTGCCCATTCTAAATCGGAGATGAAGTTTCTGGACTCTACGAAGGGTGTGAGTTAGGAGGCATGCCTTCATTCTGGGGATAGAACTGGAAAGAGGCAGGGATGGACAGAGCTGAGCCACAGTCCTGGTGGGGCCTCTGGAGGAAGTGATGAGATGAATATTTAAAGAAAGCCTTGTTACACCACCTGCTGGGGGGGGGGGAGTCCAACAATGGCTGCCCACACCGTGGCTGCTGAGGGCATGAGGCTGGGTGCCTTGGCCATTCCTATGGGCCACCGCAGGCCCCTGGGAGATCCCTGGAGAGCCAATGATCTGCAGTCCGTGTTGGAAGGCTGAAGAAGCTGTCAATACAAAGGATGGTGGCAGTGGCAGCCACCGCAGCAGCAGCATCAGTGCAGGGACAGCCATGGGGTAAGAAAGCTAGCTGTCACATGGAAGACACACTCACCAGCAGAGGCTACTGCAAACGGGCAAAACTAAGAGCCCACCCGACTTCCTCACCACACCTGGGCTGCCACAAAGGGGCTGCCCACATGAAGGATGGGTCTCCACTACAGTTTACCTAACCTTGACAACCATTCAAGACTGTTGAATCTGGGCAGTCGTAGCACCAATCTTTAAAGACTCAAAAGTCCAGGGCTGGAGAGATGGCTCAGTGGCTAAGAACATTAGCTACTCTTCCAGAGGTCCAGGGTTCAATCCCCGGCATCCACATGGCAGCTTACAACTGTTTCTAACTCCAATCCCAGGGAACCTGAAACCCTGTTCTGATCTCCACATATGAACAGACATGCATGCAGGCAGAACACTCATGCACAATAAATGATAATAAAAACCCTCAAATCAATAAATGTGATCTTTTTTATGAGACTTAGGTTTTTGAAACACATAAAATTTACAGCACAAACACAGTATTTACATTTCAAGTTCTCTTTACAAAAATGTGTGCCATTTGGGAAGAATACTATTGAAATCATGATCAAAGATATCTGTCAGAATTTAAAATGGACTCATGGAATCAGGTCTCCACAAAACCACTGTACAATGATATAACGGGCTAATATCAGGGTTTATTTATCCACATAAAAATGAGGCTGGTTCTCTGGTCTGCCAACAATGGTCTTGGGTCAAGTCTGGCTGGGGCCTGTTTTTGTATAGCTGAAACCTAAATCTGGCTTTCATCTTTTTATCGGGTTGAAAGAAGAAGAAAAAAAATAGTAAACAAAGAAGCCTGTCTGACAGGGACAGATGTGTCTCAAGTTATTTAGTCTCTGTTCTTTTAATGACAAAGTTGGCTGACCGCTGTTCTGACAGAGCAAGCAGAGAGTGGGCTCTTGGAAGAGACGGTGGATTTTCACCTGGACACCACAGTCCTGAGCCGGTGCCCTGAGCACTCCTCATTTCTGAAGTGAGGCACTTTTGTTTGCGTATGGACATTTGCAAGCCATAATTACATCTGGTGATTAGCATTGGTACTTGATACTAGCCCTTTGCAATGAGGCCTGCCAAAGAAATCACAGTATCCTGGGGGACTCAGTCAGACGAAGGACTTCAGCAACAGTCCCCAAAATCTTCAGTAGCTGTTAGTGATTCAAGACCACTTGAGTGTTAATAAAGTCAATAATTTAGATATGCTAAAAGGAAGTGACACTCTACACTAAATAAGATCTACACAAACATGTTTGGACATCCTGATTCGTTATTTTCAGACGCGAGAATAACTAGCTTAGTAGCCACTTATTTTCAAAGATGAGCAATGAGTTAGTTAAGGAAGAGGAAAATGAAAAGTTATGTCGAAAGACTTTGGAATGCAAAGCCCGGGGTCCCTCAGCACTTGCTCCGGGGCTGGCCTGGCTTCGTAGGCTGCGGTGATTGTGGGAGGAAACCAGCAGCCTGTCTGTCATCCAGGGTTCATCAAAAGCTGACAGGTCCTTCAGTAAATCCTTTAAAAGTACAAGCTGTACAGCTGTCAGCACAGGTTCTCAGTGTGCTGACTAATTCCAGGGCAGTAGGCTCTTCATGCTGCAGAAGAACGTGTCTGCACACTGTCCCTTCTTCCAAGCAGGCTGTCTGTGCGTCACATCATGGGAACCACCCTGTGTCTGTGTGTCACACCATGGCGACACCCCTGTGATGGTGAGGTGTGAGATGTTCAGAAGATGCTGAGGTAGGTGATTTTTAAATGAAGGTCTTCTACACCCTGATTCGATCTGGACTAGCTTCCTTGTGTATCCTCCTCCGGGGAAATATCTTCCGCTTAAGGGCAATTATCTACATGATGGGGGACAGATAATAAGTGTTAGTTGTCCCTATTGATGAAACACCGTTGGTGAGGCAGAGGTTCCTTCTGCGACCCACACCTTCCTGACCATTGCCACAGTCTGATACAAGTCCCCTTCATACCTCCCCCAAAACAAGAGCGGTCATTAGTTTTGCCTGGTGATATACTCAGTATGGTTTAAGCATGTGCCCACCAAGATGCGAACCTAAAATTATGTTGGCCCATGGTTCATTTATCGAAGATCTGTAACATGAGACTTTATGTAGCCATTGCTAAGGGCATTTATTTTCAAGGCCTTTGTCCAGTTTCATTTGATTTTTTTTTTTTTTTTTTTTAATGGAGCTGCAGCTGTTTAATCGTTAGAACACCAATTCTAGGTTTGAATAAACTTTTTTATAAGACAGTTTAAAAAAAAAAAAAAAGCCTACACTTGGGGCTGGAGAGATGGTTCAGTGGTAAGAGCATTGGCTGCTCTTCCAGAGGACCTAGGTTCAATTCTCAGCACCCACATGGCAGCTCATAACTGTCTGTAATTCCAGATCCAGGGAATGACACCTTCATACCAATGCACATAAAGTTAAAATGTATGTATGTATGTATGTATGTATGTATGTATGTATGTATGTATATCTAATTAAAATCCTGTCATTTTTTTCCCTACACTTATCAACGGTTATGAATGGGTTGCAAAGAGTCAATTTCTAGGTGCTAGAGAAATGGCTCAGTATTTAAGAGCCTGGTTGTTTTTGCAGAGGACAGGGTTTGATTTCCAGCACCCATCTGGTGGTTCACCACTGTCTGCAACTCCAGTTCCAGGGAATCCAATGCCCTCTTCTGGCCTTCGCTGGTACTTGCACGCACATGGAGCATAGCAACTTTCGCATGCAAAACACCCACACACATAAAAACAAAACAACAACAAAAATTATTGTGAGGTTCATTTCCTCTTTTCTTTCAAGGCAGGATTTCTCTGTGGCTTTGGAGCCTGTCCTGGAACTCTCTCTTTAGACCAGGCTGGTTTCGAACTCGCAGAGATCCGCCTGCCTCTGCCTCCCGAGTGCTGGAACTAAAGGCGTGCGCCACCACCACCTAGCCTTTTGAAGTTCATTTCTACATGTGTCGTTTAGAATGTGAATAAATAAATATTTATTTTCTCAAAAGCTGTTACATGTGCTATATTCTGAAATGGAAACCTAGCCATTATTGTGAAGCTGCTTTGAGGAAAAAACACAACTATGGATCCACAACATTGGATCCCTAATGTTGAGATTACATTTCCTCTTCCCATCTACACAGGACCAGCCATTCCCCTTCAGGGGCGGAGGCTGGGCCTTTTGAGCTGGGGGAGGAGCAGTGTTTGCTGTTTGTCTGAGGGTGGGGACAGGCAAGGGACCCTGACTGGAGTAGGGAGCGCAGGGTGCTGGAGAAGCATGAAAGGGATCTTCCTCTTCCTTCTCTTTTCTCTCCATCTTTCCAGGCTCCTGTCCTCTCCTACTACAAATGACACAAGAGAAAGCTTGGCCTTCGTTTCCTCGCCACAATCCCTGTGGCTCACCTCGGCCAAGTCCCTCTCCTTCTTTAACTTAAAACACCTGCGAGCGCATTGCTAAGTTCCTCGGGGGAACCATGTTCTAAGGTACCACGTTCTAAAGGTAGGTACTGTTGTGGTTTTTTTCCCCCTACAAGAACATGGCAACAAGGACCAAGACAGGCCGTACTGTCCTGCCCACTCATTCACTCCGCTGCAGGAAGCCATCATTTATCCTACAGCTCTCAGTACCCACCTCTTCCTGTTCAGTGTCTGTGAGTGACAAGCGCTCACCTCCCCCGGAGGCTGAGGAGGCCTCTGTCCTTGCACCAGTGAGGGAGATGGGCCCATTCCCCATCCTCCCCTTCAGCTTTCTTCTTCACAGTATTTCAGACTGTAGCTCAGTGAAGATTCTCTTAACGTTTTATTATCGGCTCTTCACCTTCCTACTTCTGGACCCGGGTGGACAGAAGTGAACCCAGACGTACAAGGATGATGACAGAGGAGGAAGGACAATCCGGCAATTCAGAGGAATGTAAGTAAGGGACTGCTGGTGTGTACTGTGACATGCGGGACCATGGGCACCTGAGGAGGAGACACAGGCTTCTCTGGGAAGGCGAGAGGGAGAAAATCTAGTACCAGATGATTCTAGGCAAAGTTGGGGCTAGAAACAGAACTTTTCGGTTTTAGTTCAGGGTCCACAGTTAACCCACTGAGTTTCTAAGTAAAAAGGAAGACGAGGGAAATGAATACTGCATGACTTCACGTGCCGCACACATGGACAGCTATGCGCTAAGATGTTCCATTTGTGAAACTGCTTTACCTTCCCTTTCCTTCTTTTTTTTTTGGGGGGGGGGTTGGGAGGTATGGTGGTGGTGGTGCAGATTTTCAATACAATTTCTAAGTAGCCCAGGCTGTCCTCAAACTTGTAACTCAACCTCTCAATTCTAGGATTCCACACCTGACTGTGGGTGTGAATTTATATCGTTTTCTAAAAGGTGCTGACACAGTCCACCCAAAAATATAGAAAACTTACCTGTTCAGCGAAAAATGAGAATATAGTAAATATGATCAACGTTCCTAGTACGCAATGGGTCCAAAACTTCAACTTGTCTCGATATGCCCTCCTGTTCAGAGACAAAAGATTCATTCACTGAATTTTATAAAGACATACCGTAAGGCAAAAAGGTACTACCCACAGTCAACCCTAAAAAAATTAATAAAATAAACATTTCTAACACAAGCTCAGATCTGTTACTTTACAATATATACTGTACTCCAGTTGTAAATATTTCCTTGGCTCCCAAAAATCAGTACTTGCAGACCTTAAAATAACATTTCTAAAATTTATTCATTCACGTTTGTTTATTTCAGAAAAAAATTCCTGGATTCAGAGGGATAAACAAGATTAAATTTCTGCTTGAAAGTGACTTGGAGAGTCACTGACATGCCATCAATCAGGTGGCTAGAAACCAGTAGTATCAAAATTAAAGTTTTGTAGAAAACCCCAGACAAATGGGGCCGGCTGCAATGGGGTACCATTTCCCCTTAGCCTTGAGGGAGAAGGAACACGCCTGGCTAAAAGGGAGAAAATAACAGCAGCAGAGGGCACAGGCACCCAGGGACCTGCAGAAGTGATGAGGGGGCCCAAGGGGGCTCTGGGACACTCGGAGCCACAGAAAGGCAGCCGCCAGGGACTGAGGCGACTCTGTACACGAGGTTAGCCGGTAAGCCTCTCAGGAAAGTGAGTGAGATGTGGGATACAGGTGTGTCAAACAATCAGGGTAAAAATGGAGGCTGTGTGAAGGACAGATGGACAAGTAAGGCACGCAGTCCATTTTTAGCTGAGGCGTGGGAAAGAACAGCAGATGTCTTAGGGCGATGAGAAGAAGAAGGTGGTGAGGGTAGAATGAAGGGGTCATGGGAAAGACAAGAGCAGAAAAGTACTGTGCGTACTTTGTAAATAACAAACTGTTACGAACATTCAATAAAAATGCTTGAGAGATAAGCTAATGCCTTCTACACTCAGGCTCTTGCCTAGTCCCAGATTCTTACAAATCTTTGGGAATAGGCGTCTCTCTAGCTTGAGTTCTATTCTTCCACACATGCTTCTTTCTCTGCTGTGGCCACACACGGCCAGCTCAGTGGACTCTCCCGTTCCCGTGTGTGGGATCACCGTCACAGCTGCGTGTACCATTGCACTATTCACGGTGGCTAAGACACAGAAGCAGCTTAGATGTCTGTCAACAGGTGAAGGGATAAAGAAAATGCGATCCACATACACGATGGGATTTACTGAGCCATAAATAAAAAGTAAATCAAGGCATTAGCAGGAAGACAGATGCTACTGGAAATTCCCAAGAGAAAAAAAAAAGACGGACTCAAAAAAGACAAATACTGCATATTTTCTCTCCCATGTGGATCATAGATTTTAATCTGTATGTATTCCTGTGTGTGCCTAGCTTATGAAGCTAGAAAGCTTCGGAGGGTGGGGTGGGGGGGATAAGAGCTAAAGGAACACATACATCATGAGGGAATAATATGGAGAAAGGTACCAACAAGAAGACAGGGAGATCGGGATGGAGAGAGAACAAATAACAGTGTACAATGTTAAAATGCATAGCAGGACACATTATTACCTATATGCTAACAAAACGCATCTTAAATAAATTTAAAAAAACTAACATAAAAAAATTAGCTGAAACTGCATCCTTCCCTTAAGAGGCTGAAGCAGGCAGGCAGCTGCCTCATTTTTCTTAGTGTGTTGTTTCTTCAGAGCAAACACCAGCATTTATGCTGTAGGACACATGGGGTAACAAGACACCGACTCGGGTGCTCTGGTCTGGGCTTCTCCTCTTCTTTGTTTAAGGGCTTTCTGACAACATATTGGCAGACATCATCTTCTTCAGAGAATCTGCAAAGCCTTTGGATCCTGTGAGCTCGTTTAGACCCCAACCTAGAGGCACAGTAGTGTCCTCCAGTCTAGCCTTAGTCTGGAACAACCCCCCCCCCCATTCCTTTGTTTCTTCTTGCAATAACGGAGCTGAGAACACTCAGCCTGGCATCCACAGTGCATCCGGAACAGACCGGCGCTTCCTCCCGACAGTTCTCCTTGGTCTACAGCGAGCACACTCTGCCGTGGGTCAGGACACCTTGTATGTCACTGTCATCACCGCCTCCGATTTGGACCACATAACTCATCCACCGCTCACCCAGGGCATCAGCAGGTACTTCTGTGGCCTTGCACAGCTTATAGAAGGAACAAAGCTTGTGTTCGTCATCCAGGTCAGCGAGTTTCTGACAGCTGGTGTCTGGGAAGGACGTATTCAGCGTCATCTTGACATGGCCAACTACCTAGGAGTTGCCACAAAACAAACAAACAAACAAAAAAACCCAGCTCAAACTACTTTAAGCCTACCACTTACTCAGCTGCTTAGCTGCTCCACTGAGATAAAGCCACTGGACTGGGGGAATTAGCACTTGGAAGCATGTCAAGAACTGTCTTCACAGCTCCCGGAAACCGCGCACAGTGAGAGGTTGCATATGTAAGATGAATCCACAATCTCTACAGCTTCTCCTTATACAAATGAAAATGAATAGACAGCACCTTCTTAAGCGTCTTTCAGCCTTCTTGATTTCCTTTATTGAGAATTCTCTTTGGTTCTGTACCCCATCTTTTGATAGGGTTATTTGGTGTTTGTGACTAGTTTCTTGAGTTCTTTGTGTATTTTGGAGATCAGCCCTCTGTCAGATGTGGGGTTAGTGAAGATCTTTTCCCAGTCTGTGGTCTTATCAACTGTGTCCTTTGCCTTACAGAAGCTTCTCAGTTTGAGGAGGTCCCATTTATTAGTTGTCCATCTCAGTGTCTGTGCTACTGGAGTTATGTTCAGGAAGTAGTTTCCTGTACCAATTTGTTCAAGGGTACCTCCCACTTTCTCTTCTAAGGTTCAGTGTGGCTGGATTTATGTTGAGATCAGGGAAATGCAAATCAAAACAACTCTAAGATACCATCTTACTCCTGTCAGAATGGCTAAAATTAGAAAAACCAATGACAACTTATGCTGGAGAGGATGTGGAGAAAGGGGAACACTCCTCCACTGCTGGTGGGAGTGCAAACTCATACAGCCATTTTGGAGATCAGTATGGCGGTTTCTCAGGAAAATGGGAATCAGTCTACCACAGGACCCGGCGATTCCCCTTTTAGGCATATACCCAAATGATCCATATCCATGCAACAAATACATGTGCTCAACTATGTTTGCAGCAGCATTATTTGTAATAGCAAGAGTCTGGAAGCAACCTAGATGCCCCTCAAATAAAGAATGGAATACTACTCTGGGGGGGGGGGGGCAATGGAATCTTGAAATTCGCAGGCAAATGGATGGAACTTGAAGAAACCATCCTGAGCAAGATAACCCAGTCACAAAAAGAGGAACATGGTATGTACTCACTCATATATGGATTTCAGGCATAAAGCAAAGGATCACCAGCCTATAATTCACACCACTGGAGAAACTAGGATACAAGGAGGAACCTAAGAGATTCATACAAGGTCCCTCACAGAAGGGGAAAGGAACAGATCTCCTGAGCATATTGGGAGTGGGGGGAGGGCAGAGAGGGAGATTGGAGAAAGAGAAGGGGAAGATAGGCGAGCGAGCATATGGGAATAGGAAGATTGAGTTGGGAGGAATAGACAAAAGAAAAAGAGAGATACCATAAAAGAGGGAGCCATTATAGGTTTGAAGAGAAAACTGACTCTAGAGAAATGTCCAGAGACCTACAAGACTGACCCCAACTAATAATCTGAGCAACAGTGGGAAGGCTACCTTAAATGCCCTTCCCTGGTAATGAGATTGATGACTAACTTTTCCACCATCATAGAGCCCTCATCTAGTAGCTGATGGAAGCAGAAGCTGACACCCACAGCTAAACACTGAGCCGAACTGGAATCCATATGTAGAGGTGGAGGAGTGATAAGAAAATGGGGACAAGACCAGGCTGGGGAAACCCACAGAGACAAGGGGGAGCTAACGGGCCCCCAGACTGATAGCTGGGAATCCAGCATTGGACTGACTCAGACCCCCTGAACATGGGTCTCAGTTAGAAGGCCTGGGCAGTCTAAGGGACCTCTGACAGTGGAACCAGGATGTATCCCTGGTGCAGGAAAGGACTTTGGGAGCCCATTCCCCATGGAGGGATACTCCCTTAACCTAGAGACAGGAGGGAGGGCCTAGTCCATACTCCAAATGACTTGACAGATTTTGTTGATCCCTCCTGGAAGGCATCACCCTCCCTGTGGTGTTGGGGGGGGGGAATGGGAGGGAGGGAGAGGGAACTGGGATCAATATATAAAAAGAGAAAAGAGAGAGAGAGTGAGAGAGAGATAGACAAGCGGAGAACAGAGTTTCATTTATACAACTGCACCTACCAAACTCTTTCCAGTTGTCGAGACCTGCCAATTCCCCAACCGTCTCTTTGACTCTGACCACTGCTCTTCCATACCCAAGGCCAATGGACAGCATCAAGGCCTAAGCATCTTAAGCCATCAATCTAATAGTTCCACCACATATTTGCAAAGTGCCTTAATTTATGACTTTGTTTCTTTGTTCTATTACCACATTGGAACATGGAACTGGAGGTCATTTAATTCTGTGTTCTATTACCACACTGGGACATGGAATTGGAGGTAACTTAATTCTGTGCCCCCAGAGCATAATTATTGTTATTTGGCTCTGGAATAAACTTCTCTACTTTGCCATGAGAGTTGTAATTTTGAGACAGCTATGACTCTACCTAATGTTTCTACCAGTGTATCTCCAAAGTTTTTTTGCTTATGATTTTCTTTTGTTTTATGACTACAGAAACTTCATGAAATCGCCACAGAGAAACACATCATTTGAGGAACCTGAGTTTATTTCCTGGGCTATGATCACTCACATTTGGCTCAAGAATAAACTTTTATTCCCTTTGGGGTGAGGGCCATGTTTCATAAGGAGAGAATCAAGTCCAAATGTTATCTTTCCCCCAAAGAATCAGTGACTCCCTTCCCAGTACACCAGTATCATCACAAACCTCACTGCCACCGCTAATATATCCTATCTGGCGCCCATCGCCTGGGCAGAGTCAGAGCACCCAAAGCCGGCATTATATATCCTTCATCTTTGGGCTCCAGAACCTGCCATAGCAAGGCAGGCAAAGGGTTAAAAACCTTCATAAATTCAAAGATGAAGTTTCCTGACCTCATGGCATCAAGTAAAACAAGCAGGAAGCACACAAAGCAGCTACAGAATATACTAGAATGTCTAAACGTAAGAGTCAGGCTTGATCTATCACTTTCCAGCTACTTCAGCGAGAGCAAATTACTCCGAGCACTCATGAGACAGTGAGCCACAGCTCAGTCACAGGCTGCAGAGCAGCTTGGGCTGCAAAGGGAACTCCAGGCCAGCATGAGGTATATAATGAGAGACCCTGTCTTAAAAATCAAGGGCGTGGGTGTATCTTGGTTGTAAAGCACATACAAGCCCCCGGATTTGATCCTTATCACTGAAGAAAACAATTCCCCTAAGGTGATGTCAGACACACAAGGTCACATGGCACATGTCCTTAAGTGTCCAGAATAGGCAAATTCACAGCAAGAAAGCAAATGAACGGTCACCAGGGGCTGTGGAGTGAAGTGATGGCTCTGGGACACTTCTGCAGTGAAGAAAGGGCCTTCAAACTCGAGCAATGCTGTATAGCACCATGAACATGAATGCCTCTGCACAGTATGCTTGAAAATGGTGAGGTGAGTTCCAGGACCTCCATTTCAATGTCTGTCTTCTCTTGTCTTCATCCTTCCCAACTATAACAGACAACTTCTAGACAACGCTTTAGCACATGTCAATCTTTCTCAGACACCAGCTACAGTTTCCATTGGTTCTGAAAGCTTGCTTGACAGTGTGGTCCGCCCATGCTCATTTCCTGTACCTCTCATTGTGTACGACACAACAAGATCTTCCAAACCAGCGCTGCTGTTCACTTAGACATCAATCAATGAACACTTGAATAAATGAAGTTTCATTCAGTAAAACTGTAAAAACCAGTCAGACTTTTTCAAATCGCTTGAAATGCTAGTAAACATCTTTTAAATGTTTAATAAAACCGTAACTGTATCTTCCCAAATAAATTATGCAGCAGGTAAAACATTAAGGAAATGTCAGCAGCCTAAAATCCAGATACAAATGTATATACAGATACACGAGCGCACACACACACACATATGCAAAACCAGAATTTACCATTCCTGAAGCTCGTGCATATGAAGAAAACGGTTCCGATATTCTCGCGGCAGCTCAAACTGGGAAGGGTTGGGAAACATGGATTCATAGAAGTCCCGGAGCACGGCCTTCACTGTCTGAGCATCTTTATGATTGTGGTCAATGTTGTCATTCAGACAAACAAACTTCCTGAAACAGAGAGCTAACATCACTGGTCATAAAGTAGGAGATCTGGCTTCCAAAGAAATTTCCAATGTGCCAGCACCCTAAGTTGGTACATTTGCTGACAGAGTTCCCTATCAGGAAATATTAGGAGGAAGAGTGTTTTCTAAAGTTTCCTCACAAATCCCTTACCTGTAAAAACAAGAGAACTAGAGCAGATAATTCTGAATGAGCCATGTAACTATGGAAACAAATAAATAACTTCCATTTAACGCAGCCAGGTGTATGCATTCAGTAAATGTATTTGACTGGCTGCAATATTTTGTTAGCAGCTGGAGGGGGGGGGAGGCGTGAATTAGAAAGCACCTAAGACAGGTTCTTTACTTGTCAGACCACGCTCACGTGGATGTCTGACATACAGCTGGTTCTATGGTGGAGACCCTTTGAATTTTGAATTAATGTATCCCCAACTAAGCTGAGAGGCTGGAGCTCAGCAAAACCAGGTTAGGATGGTGTACCCTCTTCTTGCTTCAAGTTTTCTTTAGAGCAAAAATAACTAAATCAAGGTGCCATTAAGAGTAAGATAGGATATGACAAATATATATATATATATCCTTATAAGCCTGATAATAAACTGAAAAGTGAAGGTCTTATTAGAAAAGATTGTATCAAACAATTCTCCAATATGTATTCAGTACAATAACTCATAGAAAAATTCAGGATCATCCATTTCCTATGAGAAATGATTCATTCGGATAATTTAATAGAAGTTACAGCTCGTTGGGCAATGGTGGTACACGCCTTTAATCCTAGCACTTAGGAGGCAGAGGCAGTTGGATTTCTGTGAGTTTGAGACCACCCTGGTCTACAAGAGCTAGTTCCAGGACAGGCTACAAAGCCACAGAGAAACCCTGTCTCGGAAAAAAACAAAACAAAACAAAAACCAACAGCAACAACAAAAAGAAGTTACACAGCTCATTTTTCTGAAAAGTCAGAGGCATTCATGACATGCTATTTCAATTTCTTATTTTATTTCTTGACTTCAGTTATAACTACAAAATATGCTAGATAGCATTATCATTTTTATTGTCTAAAATACCAATCCCTGAGAGGCCTCCTCTGGGCATCTGTGAACCTTAACACATCACTACCAAGGAGTTCTGATATTCGTTCCATTTAATGCAGACAGTCCGCCAAGGGCAAGACAGAAAGAGAAAGTGAGTCCCTGGCCTTGGGTGCTGAACATAGGGTCACCAAGAGTTCACAGGGCTCAGGACACACTGACGGGAATCGGCTCTGCACGGGAGCTTACACTTAACTCATGACCCCTGCCTCTTCGCTCAAACCCAGCTGAAATACAATGTTCTTTTACCACGGAGCTTCACTGTCCACTCCAAACTGAAACAGCCATTCCCTTCCCTCTAGTCCTGCTTGTTTCCTTCTTAGTCAAATTTACTTTTAGAATTAAAAACAAAACAAAACAAAAAACCCCCACAGTTTTATGATCAACCAGAAAAAAGAAAATAAAATTGTACCTGGGGTTTTTTCTGATGTCATCCAACTGGCCAACCACATGAGAAACATTGGTACGAATCATTTTGAAAGCGATTTCCTCTTCTCCCATGATTTCAAACCTAATTGCCAAACAATATTTAGCGTTTTTGGAAATGCAAAACAAAATTTCAATAGGAAAAGCATTTTTAAAAACTTTAGTGAAGCCGGGGGGTGGGTGGGGTGGTGACTAAGACATTGTAAAGGCGCAAACGTGCCGGACCTTCGGAACTGCCCATAAGCTGCACAAAGACACATTTATACGCACCTGTATTTGTTCTTGTCTTTATATGCCTTATGGATTTTGTCGGTTACTGGTTTACAGTTGGTGACAAGACTTTTAGTGACTGGTGGCTACAAGAGAACACAGTCAGACAGTCCGCCAAGCAAGACAAGAAGAGCAAGAGAGGCCCTAGCCTTGGGTGCCGAACATAGGGTCACTCACTGGAGGGGACGGCCAGGAGCCCAGCACAGGCCACACCCTAAGAAGACAAGTGACCGGGCTGGCAATCTGCAGCGCCTACTTGCCCTCTTGAGGAGAAAGGGTGTGTTCAAGTCACCTTCACAAACAGATGAATGACAAACTAATTCCCTATCCTAATTAAGTAGTCAATGAATGACTTTATTAGGTAGCCTCTTCCTCTGAAATCCTGGCTGACCTGAACTTACTAAGGAGAGCCAGGCTGACTTTAAACTTGTAACTTCTGCCTCCCGTGTGGTGGGTTACAGGCCATGCGCCACAAGGCCTGGCTTAAATAGAATTCGAAAACAAATCCACATTTACAGGTGACTAACTTTGACTCTATTAGCTTTGACAGAACCAGCATAACTAAATGTAGGGAGACTTCCAGAAAGGAATCATCAATTTTAAAACTCTGCTGAGAATGCTCTTTAGCCTGCATAATTTAACTTCTATGTTTAAAGATGATTTTATCCTCTCCAGCGGCAAAAAATGACTACTGATTACACACATACCCTTTCACTGATTATGAACATCCATGAACCAGCTGTATTACCAGAGTTACTGACAGCTGTAAACCTCCCATGCAGGTACTAGGAACTGAATCCACGAGAACAAAAAGTGACCCTAACCACTGAACCACCCTCCCCATCCAGAAAAACAAGTTTTAACAGAATTTTATTCTGATTATGAAAGCAAACGGTATTTATTGTAAAAATATGGAAATGCAAGCAAGACAATAATACTAAAAAACTTTCAGTGATTTAATATGTCTTTTGAGGGATGTGTGTTCTTATATTCAAGTAGGGGGTGGATTATATTAGGGAACTTTCAATAATTCAAGCCAGTGTATGCTTCCCATTTCCCTCCTCATCCAGTTGGCTTTCTAAGCATTTTCCCATACATCGTATGTACAACTCATAAAAACAAGTTAAACAGTGTATGGTGTATTCCCTTTCATCCATTCTGAGGTGCACATATTTGCACATCTCTTACAGTTAACAATTAGGTAAGAAGTGACATTGCCATGGGTGTGTGGAGCTCCCCCGCCATCCCCCAGCGCCCAGGAGGGGCCAACAGCACCCTGTCTGCCATTCTCGGGTTACTTGCTGTTACCCTTGGTCACTGGAATGTCAGTTCATGGAATCTAGTCAGTCTGAAAGTAAACCTGCATATTACCGAGTGGGGAGGGATTCTCAAGCAAGACATTAATGATTATGTATTACTTGCACCGCCATGACACAGAAATGGCGGAGATGCATCCGATAAGGGTTACCATGACACTTACCAGATTGGGATCGTAGTATGCTTCCTGAGTTGGTGGGATGTTGTTCAGTTGAGTGATATTAGCAGGAAGCATTTTTGAGCAGTTTATTAACATGTGTTCCAAACCTGTCAAATCCTATCCAAAGCAAAATAGAAATCTGTTATATATACTATAGATTAAAAAAAAAAAACTGGTTTAAAAATAAAAAAATATGTGGATAGAAGCAATATTATATGGGCTGGGTAGGTTGCATTTATGTATTTAGAAATACACATATATATGTATGTAACAATAATTAATGGTAATTAATGGGAAGGGAGGTGCATGGAAGGACCTGGAGGGTAGAAAGGGGAGGGGAAATGACATGATTAGATTATAATCTCAAAAACTAAAAGGGAAAAACATAATAAAAAAAGATGTGAAAGTCTCTAAGTGGCTATTCTAAATGGCTCAAAAGCAATAGCATTGTTAAGTATAAAATAGAAACATTTCAAAAGAGCAAAATAAGACAATACAACAAAGACACCCATTTTTACAAGGTAGTCCAGGCTCACAGGGATAGATATGGTACAACTCTACTCACTTTACCATCTCCATATGAATTTTGCATTTCTAAGAATCACAGGAGGACTTGGCTGAGATCTCCAGTCAGCCGCACCCCATGCCCTGACTGAACTTGTCACAAGGATCATATGCAGGTATCTACCACCTGGCTCTCCCCTCAGATAATAGAGGATTACCCCAGTGCAAGGCCACGAAACACAATTTCGAATATTTCAGTTCTGGCACTAATAATTTATTAAATACTCAGAATTATCTTTACTTGAAACGCGGGAGAAAAAGAGGTGCTGTCAGAATTCTGCTTTCCACTCAGTATGTTAACAAGATGAAGGCTGAAATGATACATTACCTGCAAGCTTAAAGGCAGATCATGAATTCTGGTAGCCAGTGTTCGGATTTCTCTATCAGACAAGATACCAGATTGGTCTGTATCTACATCATCAAAGACTTGAGAAATATTCAGGGGTTGAACTGCACTCATGAGATAATAGAAATACGAGAAGGCAAACTGCATGTCCTCAGAGTGGCGCACCTTGTGAAATGATGTCTTGTCAAATTCTTCAGGGAACCTGTCCAAATATAACATGCAAAGGGCTTTGGATATTCCGGGCACATACGGGATTGGATGTCTATGAAAACACAAGTCTGTCTTCATGTCTTATTTGTATGGCATCTTTGACTCATCAGACATGAAGGCCATAGCTCGTCGGGGTAAACGTGAGAATGTCAAGCACACAGGCACAACTAAGACTTACATGTCTTGTAGCTCTTGCATAACAATTCTGTCAATCAGGTGAGGCATGTGTGCGGGGACTTTCCTGGATGTGAACCCAAACTTGCTGTTTAGGATTTTATTGACGTATCGGAGTGAGTCTGCAAACGTATCTTTGAGTTGCCGCCCTGTGTGTGTGCCATCGGTAAAGTACGCCAATTGTGTCTTCAATGACTCTTCCTCCTGAAATGAGAATTCCACGTGACAAACATTGTGTTTAGTCCATAGCAGAATCTATTAGCAAGAGATAAGGGCACGGCCTTGCGGTGTGATACAGAATGTGGTAACTGGCCACTAACAGTCCTCAAGGGGAATGAACTCCATGCTGTTGGGCCACTTTAAGGATCTTAAGGAATACGCTGGCTTGAGAATAACAGTGCCATAGCTTTTAAGGCCTATTGGGTACGCCTTAAAAGCTAGTCACAGAACACATGATTTCAAAGCCAATCCACTACAACATTTAGGGAAGTTATTTACATACAAATTGTATAGCACTGGTTACAAAGGAGCATGTGTTTGAGCTTCGAATATGACTAAAAGAAACTGAGCTCCACTATATGACAGAAAGGAAACCAGCTAGGCAGAACCATACAGGCAGAGAAAACTGGCCAAGAATGTGAAGGTACGCCAATAGAAGGTTTTTGCTTCACAAACTGAAGAAAATGTAGAGAGAAGACAGTGACTAGTGCTGGTTAGTGATGGAGCAGCGAGCGTCCCTGTGTACCGTGGGAGTATGACGCTGTGCCACACTTTAGGACATGAAGTTTATGAGGATGAAACCTGGCAATTCTACCGACGGACATAAAGAAAGGTGAGCGTGAAATGCTCGCTGAAACGCTGTAGCTGTGAAATGCTGGAAAGGTCCAGCTGCTGGGCGAGCAAAGGCATTGCCACAGGCTGCTTCTCATGGGCACTGCGTCGGGGTAACCACAGGGAATGTGTGGACGGCGTGCAGCCACTGCACCGTTGCAGAAACCGCGTGAGTGGCATGTCTATGCACCTCGAGAAAAGACTGGAAGGGCGGCCATGTACCAAATCTCAAGGAAGAAGATTCAGGAAGACCTTCCCTTTTTATGGCAGATCTTTGTACTGCTTGGAAAGTGCACTAGTCTGCAGACACAAAAAGAAACATGGGCAAGACCTGTCACCTTCCACTCGGTTAGCAAGTGCCCAGTGTGCAAGGCAAAAAGATGTCCCCCTAGAGGGCTGAGAGGAACAAGAAACGGGCCCACTTCCTGTTCTTCTTCAGAGTCCATCGGGGGTCTGTCACCTCCAGCTCTCTAGGGTTAGTTCACAGCGCGCGGTTCCCGAGGGCCGAGTTCCCTAGGGACTGCTTGCCTGTGACTCAACAGAGACTATCAGCTTTATTTCGATTTGTCCTCCTTAGTGGCCTCTAGTCTTCCTCACAAGTGACCGTGTCTCTATTGTCCGGTGTTCACCACTGAGGCAGCACCTTCAGGACAAACACACCATGGCACAGTGCACGCCACGTGTGGCGTAAGGGACAAAAGCCTCGGTTCTCAGGTTCGGCTTACAGAGCTGGTTGTGCCGATTGTAGAAACGCCAATGGACGTATCTGAATCTCAGGGTTCTCAGCAGTGAAGCTGGGATAGCACCAGAGCTACAAGCTAAGGAGACAGGGTGTCACTGCTGTTCCTCAATGTCCCCAGCCTCCACCCCGGCTAGAACGCTCACTCAAGTAAGGACCGTTACCTAGACTGCAAAAGGATGTGGCATGTTTACAGTTTGGGTTACTGAGGAAATGAAATGAAACCACTCAAGAAAAGCACTTACTTTGGTTGTAGTCACAGGAAAGTGCTTGGCAAATGGTAGCTATTATTATATTACCACTTACAAAGTTAGTTATGTTCCTGGGCATGGGTGGACAAGAATAAGGCTGGGTCTAACTTACATCAAGAAGGTCCTGGAAATACTTTGTTTTCTCCCAAGGCAAAAAGCCTGGGTAACTGTCTGTGTAGTGCTGCAGCCTCCTTCCAGGTACTCCCTCATGGACAGCCATGTGGCTGTCAGCATCGACTTCCACTTTACCACCCTCCTCTCCTTTCCCTGTGAGCTTTTCTTTGGGTACAGCCACGCCGGGTCCCTGTTGGGTCTGAGTTTCCAACTTATTAAGTCTTGCATCGGTCTCCAAGACTGGAGGTGGCTTTAAGTCGTGGTCACGGTCATTCCAGTTCACTGTCCCCACTGGGGACGTCCATGTCTCCCATCTCTGGCCGGCAACAAAGCCAGCTGGGCTTCCGTGAGACAGCATTTCCCGTGGGACCTCCAAATTGTCATTTGTTTGGTCAGTCCTGGCTGGAGGTTTTCCTTTAGCATCTCGTGAGTTCCCCAGGAAAGACTTCAGCAGGGCTGACTTGGACAAATTGTATCCTTTCAGAGTGATGTCTCCAAGTTCCAGCTGCAGCTCCAACCTGCTCAGTCTCACCTGGGCCTCTTTTGGAAGGAGTGAAGTATTTACCAGGGGGACTTTTACCTCCTCTTGGAATCTCCCCGTTGGGTTTACATCATGTCTCCTGACCTTGGGGAAGCGTTTCCCTTTGGGAACATCTTCAAAAGAGAACTCAGCCTGGGGAAGAGGCGTGGCTGGGCTGAGCACATTTTCATAGGCCTTCTGGGTGGTAGAATTGAGTTTTGGCACCTCCCTTGTGTCCACCTCTACTGTTACCTGGATTTTGAACTCTTGGTCATTGGAGTTCTGGAGTGTGAGATTAAAGTGTATCACGGTTGCGTTCATCCCACTGTGCAATATGAGGTGTATGGTTTTCCACTTGTTTGCAATGGATGCGTGTCGGATTATTGGGTTGTCGCTGTAGGCGCCTTCGATTCCTCTCTTGGCTATTTTTGCAAAGCTGAAATAAGGCAGGTGTTCACCTTTGGGGATAGCGTAGTGGGTCTGGTTTGGGAGAAGAGTTACTTTATACAGTTCATGAAAATGATCTAGAGAAGAAAACACAAACAAGTTTTCTTTTTAATTAGACATTTTTACTGCCTTTCCTCAACTCCCTGGGTTCAAGTTCTTACTTTCTAAGGGTGAATTTACATTTATTTAAAAATGCTCACAAGCTGTAATACAAGGTTTGGGGATATGGCTCATCTCACCATTTGAGCTGAGCACAGCAGTTTACATGGAACATTAACCCTGACTCGCTATAGAGATGCGGCATGCTTTCTAATCGATAAATTTCAATGACTAATTTGAGGGTACTTTAAGTGATGACAACCACCCAGTGTTCTCTATCTGTGGAGTTAGTCCTTTGTTTCTAATGCTTTCATGGCAATGCACATACCTTGTCCACAGTCACCAGCATCGAAACCACAGGACAAGACGTTGCAGGCTTGGTCACAGAACTTATCGGCGAGCCAGGAATTCGCACACCCTTGGTTACAGTAAGAGACACTATTTATTCCTCCGCCAAACTGCCAGGGCTGTCCGACTCCGATATTCCCGGTACCCCCACCTCCTGCAGCAAAGCGACTCCCTCCGCTGTTACCTGTAGAGGGAGGAGGACGGGAGTCTTTACTGGACTTGGAACTGTGAAAGAAGCCAGCTCATCACGCCTTACAAATGTTTGCGAGACTGATGTGTGGATCGCCGCTACAGAGGCTCATCCCATTCCTTAACACGAAGAGCCCCTGTGTTTTAGGGGAAAGGAATCCACCTGGCAGAGAAAAGCTGGAGGAAAGAGCTTATTCCAAGGACCATGACTCAATTCCCAAAACCATGTCCAGACACAGGCGGCGGCGGCGGCGGCAGCGGCAGCGTTATCAAATGCTGACGTCAGCACAGCTGTGCTGCTCCTGCAGCTGCCTACATTTTACAACACCTGACAGCTAATGCAGCCATTACACTTTGTTTCCACTGACCCTCAACACATTTCCATACCACCAGGGTGATAACATCTGTGCACACTCTCTCTCTCAGAGCCCCCAAACTCAAGAGGGTTATAAGTAATGTTCTAGGCCGGGTGGTGGTGCATGCCTTTAGTCACTGTGCTTGGGAGGTGGAGGCAGGTGGATCTCTGTGAGTTCAAGTCCAGCTTAGTCTATAGAGCGATTTCTAGGACAGCCTCCAATATAGAGAAATCCTGTCTCAAAATAAATAAGGTTCTAGAATTTAGTGGCTTTACCTTTCAGTTCTGAAAGGTAATAAGTAAACACATTTTCAAAAGCGCCAATATTAAGTCCAAAGGTTGGGGGGGGGGGGTTGTGGTGTGCTAAGTAGATAAGAGTCTTTTATTCTGCAACCTTCTGCAGTTTCCCTGGAAAGTTACTGCCATGGATTCCTGTAGAACTAGTTGCAATGAGCCTTGGGTTGAGTATTCCAGACACTTTAAGTAATAACAAAAGATATTTTCAAGTGCAGAGCCTATAGCAGAGAAATGCATTCAATAATGGACACTGTGAATCAGCTGGCCATGTGGGTAACACTGATCTCTGGAATGTACGATTTAGGAAATCAGCAGCACATATTCTTAGGATTAAGGATGCAAATTGAATAAGTCACATTTAGCATTCTTACCGGAGCAATCACCACCATCCCAGTCACAAGCTGAATTATTACAGGCCTTGTCACAATAGCCATCTTTAATCCAGGAGCCGGGGCAGCCCTCGGCACAATTGGGCACAGGCCATGTCAAATAAACCTGTGATAAAATCAAACAGAAAATAAAACAATTTCTGATTCCTTCACTCTTGAATTAAAATATCTTTAGAAAAAAAAAAATGAGCTTCCAAAGTTTCCCAATGACTGGATGCCATTTGCTCGGCATTGCCTTTGGCTGGCCGATGCCCACTGCAGAGTTAAACCTGCTGAGCATTCTTTCCCAGAAGCTTCAGAGGACAAGGACTTGGCTCGTGGGTTAGTTTTACTAACATGCTCTTATAATCTACTTCTAAATAAAACAGCCATGTGTCAGACCTTCAGGCGAATACAAAGACGCAGCAAAATAGGAAGGGGCTCTACCACAGGTCACTCTTTGGCCGTGACACCTACTAGTCACCTGAGCCTTTCTACATAATCTCCTAAGACTGCGGGAAAGAGAAGGTGAGTGCTGGCAGCTGAGGCTGTGCTGAGGCAAAAAAATTCCTACGACATTCTGAGCTCCCAAAATGAGTTATGTGGTGCATGGTTACTCTATAAATTAGATCCACTAAAGATAAACACCCCCCTCCCTTTTAAAGTCCCCTTTGCTCGTTACACTTACTCAGAAGCTATTTTTTAAATCTAAACCGGAACCAGAGCCTGTCAATGGCTAGGGTCTGGCTCTATGGTAGAGTAAGCACTTTCGAGCTAGTGTATATGAGTTCCTGGGGCTGATGCCCAGCACAGCAAACAAACAAACAAATCCGGTTTAGTTCAGAGGTCTCCCCATCCCACCTGATCTAAACTGCCAGTGCCCCAGCCCTCCCCACAGCACAGCCTGGGCCAGACAGCGCGAGGTACATGGAACTTCACACACCCTCCACTTGCTTAAGCACTTTAAGCTAACTTTGGATGGTGGCCGCTTCGCTGTCACTCACTTAAGGAAAAGGGGGCTCCTGTCACCGGAGACTGCAGGAAAGCAACGTCCCATCCCACCAGAGTTTCCTTACTCTTAACCCAGGCTCTCCGGGGCTAAGGAGTCACAAACGCAGGCTTGTTAACACTTGCATACAGAAGGGTATACAGGGGCGCACGAGGAAATGCCCTCCTCATCTGTTAGTGATTTCCTAGGCAGGTGCCGACCTGTCTTAGCGCTTACCTTTTGACCTTTGGAGTGACTGTAAAAGTCGTCTGGCCAAACATCCTTACCAAACATAACGTCATCATTTAGGTAAATGAACTTCTGCGACAGCCCCTCGATGCGATGGATGTGACTCTCAATAGCAGGAGAGCTGAAAGTAGGCAAGTGGCTCAAATTCCGGAAAATGTCCTTTAACAGAAAGCACATGTGCAGAGGTGGCTGTGAGCTGCTTTGAGCTGGCTCGGCATTGAGCAAGAGGGAAGGGAGGAGACTGTGGCAATTCAAAGAAGGTAGCCACGGAGGTAGAGAAGGTGAGTGCAGTGAGTCGATGAGGTCACCGAACCACGCCGGAAGCACAGATAAGAAGCCACAGCCTTGGGCAGATTTGCAAAGTCACGCACCTGGTGGGTTACTATTGTCACTCGAGGGTTGTCAAGGTTCAGCCAGGAAGGGATCTGTCCGTTGGTGACGATGAAAATATTCCGAACCCATGGTGCATGTCTTTCGATGGATCGCAATGAGTACCTCAGCTCTTCGTTATCTTCGAAACGGCTGGCAGACACATCTTCATCCTGCTTGGACTGATGGGAGGTAGGAGGCACACAAAGACATCAAGTATCTGCACAGAGCCCTCTGCCTGCTCTTCTCTAAGGGGAAATATGTCTATGTCAACCTGACACAGGCTGGCGTCACCTGAGAGCAGGGGACCTCAACTGAGGCAATGCCTCCATAAGACCAGGCTTCAGGCAAGTCCTGTTGAGCATTTCCTTAATTAGTGATGGGTGGGGGAGGGCCCATCCCACTGTGGGCGGTGCCGTCCCCGGGCTGCGGTCCTGAATCCTATAAGAAAGCAGGGCCACGATGAGCAAGCCAGTAACAAGCACCCTTCCATGGCCTCTGCATCAGCTCCTGCCCTCCTGCAATGATGAACAGTGCTGTGGAAGGGTTAGCGGAATAAACCCTTTCCTCCCCAAGTTGCTATGGCCATGGTATTTCATCACAGCAAAAGACACCCTAACTAAGATAGAGGTTCTGGCTAATCTTTAAAATGCAAGTGTGTGTGTGTGTGTGTGTGTGTGTGTGTGTGTGAGTGAGTAAGAGAGAGAGAGAGAGAGAGAGTGTGAGTATCTTCTTTATTATACTTTGCCATAAAGGGTCTTAGATCCAACTGGTCTTGCAGGCCTAGAGCTCATTGTGTAGACCAGGCTGGTCTCCAGTTCACAAAAATTTGCCTGCTTCTGCCTTTGGAGCGCTGGGATTAAAGGCGGGTGCCATCTAGCCTGACCACAGCTTTATTTTCTTTGACAGTGGTGAGTGAGTGACTGTGAGCGCCTGGAGGCCAGAGAAGCTGGAGTTATGGGGGCTTATCAGCCATCCAGTGTAGGTGCGGAAACCAAACCTGGGTCCTGGGGGAGAGCAGCCCTCGCCAGCCTTGTTCTGTTCAGTAAGTTTCAATGGTAGGAAACGGAAGTTTGGGAAGTCCTTCTGTGGTCACTTCTCAGTGAGTCCTCTCCCTTCCCCTACTAACTCGGCATATAGATATTTAACATTCTAATTCTTCAGTCCGCTGCTCTCCCAGATGAGCTATTCTGGCAATACCAAATACTCGGAATTCTTGACCTGAGCTGTAGAAGTCTACACCCTATCCCTGAGCATTGGAGGTCTACGCCCCTTCCCTGAGCGATGGAGGTCTACGCCCCTTCCCTGAGCGATGGAGGTCTATGTCCCTTCCCTGAGCGATGGAGGTCTACGCCCCTTCCCTGAAGGATGGATGTCTACGCCCCTTCCCTGAGCGATGGAGGTTTATGCCCCTTCCCTGAAGGATGGAGGTCTACGCCCCTTCCCTGAGCGATGGAGGTCTACGCCCCTTACCTGGCTGATGGCACTCAGGTCCCACAACAGATACGCAGGGCTGAGAGTCAGCTCCTTCCCACTGATGGTCATGTTCTTCTTGGTTTGTTTGTTGAGCTCTTGGAAGCCTTTGGGGTTATTCAATTTTAGGAGAGCGACACTGGCCTCAGAGTACAACTGCAACTGACAGATGACAAAAACACAACACACATGGGCACACTGGACCTCTAGTGCGAGACAGAGCTTCAGGGACGAGGATGACATTAAACTCATGGCAAACTTCTGCCTCAGCTTTCCAAGTGCTGAGCTTACAGGTGTGAGCCACTATGCTCAGCTTTTTAACGGTCAGCCTTGAAATGAAAAGACAGTATCCCAGGCCAAAAGTTTTAATCAGATGAATGTGACCGGAACACCTGTTAACAGGAAGGAGTGGAGGGATGGTGTGGCCAGGGCACCTGGGGCATTGTTTGACAGCTACAGCCACTCCTCAACCCTTCAGGGGACTCTAGATGCTCTGAGACTTTAGACTCTTATGAAATCCCCCAACTCTGCAGAGCTAGCTTAAATGGATTTTATTCTCAATCTCAATCTCTCTGTCTCTCATCCCAGCACTCCAGAGGCAGAGGCAGGCAGATCTCTGTAAGTTCAAGGCCAGGCTGGTCTACAGAGTGAGTTCCAGGACAGCCAGGGTTGTGCATGGAGATTGTCTCAAGAAAAAAGAGAAGGCCAGTGGTCTCTGACCTTGTTCTGACCTTGTTCTAGACTAAGACCAACATGACCACCCTGGGAGGAGCCTGTGGGGTAGCGCTGCTGATTCGGTGACTTCGTGCCGTAACTGCACCTCAACAGCCCCTTGCCTTAGTCCTGGAGTGTCCTGGGCCTCGCCATCCAGCTGCCTCAAGGGGAATATACATTTTGTGGGCAAAGCTTTGTTTGGAGCAACCATAGGTGTGAGAGGAAACCATGTGAACATCAGCAAATTACACGCCGGCTTCTCCAACCTCTCGGTGGCCACACCACCTCCATCTGTGTCAGATTTAGACTCTGGATCAAGATTTCCTAGGAAAGCAGGCTTTTCAACCAGAAACTAAGGAGAAGGGTAGAGACCACCCCACTGAGGAGAGTAAATCCTCCTGCCACGCTGGCGTCTCTGACAAGGCTGCCATTCTTTCTTATTCTATAAGACAGAAACAAACACAGATGCTTACAGTGAGTGTCATTCCGGACTCTCTATTTGCTATTACACTGTCTCAACTCCTTTTCTAAACAGTTCCCTGAGTTTCTAGAGGCCCCAGGTCAGAAGAGAGTGGTGGGATTGCATGTCTGTCTGTCCCCCCTTTTCACCAATACATGCTATTAACTCTTGGCACACCGTCTTCTGATTGCGTTCCTGGCCTGGCATGCACCAAGAACTCCAGGACTCAGCTCTCACGGCTGTCTGTGTGTGCAGAAGAACGTGTGTGTGTGTGTGCGTGCGTGCGTGTGTGTGTGTGTGCGTGTGTGTGTGTGTATGTGTGTGTGTGCGTGTGTGTGCGTGTGTGTGCGTGTGTGTGTGTGTGCGTGCATGCGTGCGTGCGTGCGCGTGTGTGTGTATGTGTGTGTGTGTGCGTGCGTGTGTGTGTATGTGTGTGTGTGTGCGTGTGTGTGTGTATGTGTGTGTGTGTGCGTGTGTGCGTGCGTGCATGCGTGCGTGTGTGTGTGCGTGTGTGCGTGCGTGCGTGCGTGCGTGTGTGCGTGTGTGTGTGCGTGCGTGTGTGCGTGTGCGTGCGTGCGTGCGTGTGTGTGTGCGTGAGTGCGTGCGTGTGTGCGTGCCTGTGTGTGTGAGGTGCATCCCACCCCCACCCCATTCCTACAACTCTCTGCTCCTTTCTTCCCAGTCACTGATACCCACAATACCTCTAAGGGCTCCCTCGAGTGAGGAAAACCATTGTTCTAGAATAAATAAACAGTAAGTTAGCGTTACAATTTAATTTTAAACTTAATGAGGAAATGTCTACATACTAATCTCTTCTATCAAAATTGTTTTTTCCTTGGAAATTATTTAAGCCTCATAGACATTTTAAAAGTTTACAGATTTTTAAGACACTTTAGGATACGTTCCTAAGGAAGATGCAAAACCACAAACCACCAAGGCCCACCTGTCTTAGCATGCTTACACAGGCATGATGGCACTGAGTAACGAACCCAGGCCCTAAGGTGTGCTAGGGAAGTGCTCTGCCACTATTACACCCTTGGTCCTTTTACTCTTTGAGACAGGGTTTCACTGAGGCGCCCTGACAGGCCTTTAATTTACAATTCTCCTTCTGAGGCACATTACACGTCTGTGTTACATTTTAGCTCAGTAATTATAGCATTTTCACTACAATCTCCACCAGCGACTGGGCACATGCTGTGCACCAGACACTGCCTTGGGCAACTATCATGCCAGGGTGAAAGTGTAAATTCTGACCGCACTGTTTTAAGCCCGTGCCATTCACCCGGGCTTGGGCTGCTTGCTATGCTGGCCTGTGAGATGCAGGGATAGATGGCTGGCTCAGCTTCCAGGAAGTAGCCCAGGGATCATCAGAGAGAGAAAACCATTCAACCCAGCTGGGGATGAAAGCAGGGGCCAGGCTGTCACCAGATCTGGAGTAAACGTATGTCACTGCACAGCCCCTACGTAGTTCAAGCTACCACGTCCTGAAAGGCTATGAGTTTCCATTTTGAGGCAAACAAGACACAATCCCTTATTTTTTCCTTTTCTTTTTACTGTTAACCAGTAAGTATAACTGCTGTTGTGTTACTGACAAGGGAATTCACTAGGCTGAGGATGTCTTGGTAGAGTGCTGGATCCTCATTGTGAGGCTCTGGCTTCCAACCCAGCACCATCAATTTAGAAGAAAAGATGTCCCAGAGATTCTTAAGACAGCTTGGGGATTCTAATAAAAGAGCCAAAGATTCGCAACATTATTTAAAATGATGTCTTAATTGTCCTTTATTTGGAAGGTGCACCAAGAAAATTAACCTTAATTTTGACAGTTTTCAAATTTTTATTTTTTTATATGCTTTTTGTGGGAGGGAGGGCATATACGCCACAGTGCAGGTGTGGGTATCAGAGGACAACTGGCAGGTGTCTGTCCTCTCCTAACATCTGGGTCAACAGGGCTGAATTGAGTCAGATCTGGCAGCAAGCACCTTTGCCCACTGAACCATCTCGCCATCCCACACTAGCAGTTACTCAGGTCTGGCTTCTAACTACATCATCAAAAATCAGAAACAGTTTCTCTCACGATAACCACACAATAGTTGAAGGAGATAGAAGCAAGGAACGTGGAAGATCAGATTGTTCTGTCTCTGTAAGGGGCAGTGGTAAGGAGCATGAAGTATCCCCTGCTGTCCACTAGGTGGCAACCCAAGCCTGCAACTCTATTACATGTACTAGAAGCTTGCTGGAAAAGGATCCGAGATGTGCTTTGATCCCGGACCTTTTCACTTTGGTAGCAAATGTCATTTGTTGCAGGAAGCTGGTTTCTGGTAAGGCTGAGTAGCTGAGGCCTCTGCTGAAGGATGGAATTCTTACCTAGAATACCTGCTCTTTTTGCTACTAATTCTGCAGAGCTGGGCCTCCAGGTTATTATGGTACCCTAACCCGCATCCAACCCACTGAGCTATGTTTGCAGCTTCAAATTCTTCTGAAATGCTCCTAAATGTGTTTATACCAGAAAGTAGAATTCTTAGCACTGATAACAAAGAACATCCCCCCCCCCCAAATCAACTGATTCTCAAGAATCAGCTATGGCCAGAATGTAATTATTTACAACCACCACAATAATATGAAATTTGCTTTCATCTTTGATACATAGTAAATTTATATATATACCAAAGAATTATTTGAAAATGAATTCCCTTGGCTGAGGGTAGATGTCTCAAATGATAATGGCACCTGCTACCAAGCATGCATGATATCACAAGTTTGATTGCCAGGACCCACACGGTGAGCAAAACTGACTACTGGAAGTTGTCCTGTGACCTCCACACTTGCACACTGTGGCATTCACACACACACACACACACACACACACACACACACACACACACACACACCTGTAAGTTAAAAAAATCCTTAAAATTTATTGTCAGTAAATGCATACCTATTTCCTATACCTATACACCTAGAATTATATAAAAATTTCTCAAGCCACAGGGGCTGTGGTGGGAAGGTTAAGGGGGCTCTGATGCAGAGAACAGAAGCCTGAGTACTTCTAAACTTCCTACAAGTATTTGTACTGGGGTAAGACCATCAGTATAGAGGCAAGCAAACCTGCTATAGGAGAATGGCAAATCCCAAAGAATAACAGGGTTCTCCTGCAAGACACGCACACCCAACATTTTAAAAGACTCAGAAACTCAGAAGATGGAAGTTGATTTTAAATTTGGGTTGATTTGATTTTTATGGTATTAAAAAGACTCTGGGATAGGGCTAGAGAAATGGCTCATCTGTTAAAGGCTAGGCTCACAACTAAAAAGACTTCTGGGAGGTAAACACACTTCTGCTACAGCTAACCAGAAACAAACCAGCACCTTTTAGTAATTTGGTAAGTTAGGGCTGCTAGGTTTAAAACGTTCCAGAGCTAAAGTTAGTTACATAATTGTTGCTTCATCTGCTGACTATTTTAGAAAAAGCAAAAGGAAGGTCATGCATTAAAAGCCAAGTGAGTAAGATATTTTCATAAAAGCCATTAAAGGTGTGTTAGTAAATATATTACATAGCCAAGTATCCTTTACCTAAAATGCTTGTGACCAGATGGGTTTTGGTGTTAAGAGTTGTTTTTTGTTATTTTGTTTTTTGAGACAGAGTCTTACTGTGTAGCTTTGGCTCAGCCTGGAACTTGCTATGGAGACTAGGCTGGCCTTAATTTCACAACCATCTGCCTGCCTATGCCTCCTAAGTGCTGGAATTAAAGGAGGACACCACTGTGTTACTGTGTCTCTTTTCCTTCAGGCCTGACATGGCTGCATACATATTTAGTCTTGGCACCCAGGAAGCAGAGGCAGGTGAATATTAAGTTTGTGTCTTAGCCTGGTCTAGATAGTGAGTTGTAGGTTATTAGCTAGGGCTACATAGTGAGACCCCATCTCAAAAAAAAAAAAAAAAAAAAAAAAAGTTCCAAATATTTACATATACATGTGATGAATTATTTGTGGGATAAAACACAAGTCTAAACATGAAATTTGTGTTTCATACATACCTTATACACATAGCCTGAAATAGCATATTTTAAGTAATTCTGTAGATAAAACAGTTTCATGAGGACACACGGCTTCATTTTACACCTGTGGTATCATGTGATGTTCAGAAACTCTTGGGTTTGGAGCATGTTAGACTTTGCATTTTCAGATTAGAGATATCTAAGGGGCAGCATACTTTTCGGTGACCTTAAACAGCTCCTGAGGGGAAGAGTGTGCAGGTCACTAAGCCATCACCCCCTTGCCTGTGCCACCCTTCCTAGCTAAGCAGTCAGCTCACCTAGCCTTGGGTGATCTAGCATGACGGCCTACGCACTCCTCAGTGTGTCAAATGTGTCAGGGTCACGCAGACCCTTCCTATTTCATGCATGCACTGGCTTCTTCTGTAAGTTAAGGGAGGGAGGATTTACTTTGGCATTTGAAGGAAGGAAAGGAAGGAAAGGACGATGGCGGGAACCAGAGACAGCCTGTTCCCATCAAGCAGACCAGGAGGCGGGGCCTGCTGCTACTGACCCACTTCATCCAGCACTGGAAATTGTATCACCAGCAGGGACTCCGGTGTTCAAACACAGGAGCCGTTGGGTACACTTCTATCCAAATCCTAACAGGGCAACTCTGTAGCAGTCTCTTCAATTACTCAGACAATCCCCAAATACTTTGTAACTCCTCTGCTTCAAAACGCAATTTAAATACTGGACAGAGGGTATACACCCTCCTCACCCACACACCCGCTCAGCTGCAGCCATCACTGGGTTATTCTCACTGGAGGCATTCCCTTGTGAACTCTGGGACCATTTCCCGCCTGCTCCTCACATGGTACAGAACAGAACAGAACAGAACAGAACAGAACAGAACAGAACAGAACAGAACAGAACAGAACAGAACAGATCCCAAACCTAAACTCAACGGAAAAGCCCTCGCATGAATGAAAGCATCTAAAAGCACAGAAGTTTAGAGTGAACTGAAGAGAGGCAATGGGTAATTTACCCAGAAATTCTGTTACGTGTCACATCTAGAACTTTTTACTGATAAATTCCTAGGTACTTGATTAGGCTATAAGACGGCTCACCTCAAGGTTTCTCAAAACAGAAAATCTGAGAAAGGGTTGTCTGTTGTATAGTACAGGAGTGGACAGAAACACTTGTAGGAATTCAGATTCATTATCTTACAAATACGAAGCGTTCTAGCCCCCGCTCTTTTCTGCAGGACACACAAAGGTGAGGGTGTATGCTTGCATCCGCTCAGTGCAAAGGCACCCTTCCACACGGAGAATGGTGTGCTGCAAGCGGACCTTCACCAAGCTTTCTGCTCTGTCCCAAGGCCTGCATACAGTGAGTGCCATTAAGAGCGGTGCTCAACCCCCTATGTGAGGTATACAGGCGAAGAGAACAACGTCCTGAGATGTCTGGAGCCCGTGACACCTGCCGGAGCCCTGTCTGACTCCTGGATCATAGGCCTCAGCAAAGACCTCCCAGAGGAGCACAGGAGCAGGACACGGGCAGGCTGCTCCCGGCCCGAACGTCAGTGTCCTCCCTCTCATGGGCTGCCCACTCAAACTGGACCCCACCGCAACTCAGTGTGGTTGACACCATCACCTGCACCACACAGCACACATACTCCTCTTCAGTATCCCTTCTCCCAGACACCAGGATGCGGAGTATGTCTGGGATGCTTCTGGAACTCCCATAGCCAGAGGCCCTTAAACAGAAATGCCTTGCAGGACTAAACAGTTTTCTTGCCTCTTTCTATCTAACATCTACCACACCTGTCCCTATGCCTTAGAAATAGACCAGATTGTCTTCTTCCTGTCACGGTCTTCCCAGCCTCTGGGATAAGGTCTTGCCTTACCTACCTCTCCAGCTTTCGTCCATACCCAGACTGGCAATCAGGCTCTAGAACTCCCCACTATCCTATCTACTCCCGATACTCCGAAGCCTCCAGCCTTCTGTTCGGGCTGTTCTGTGCACCTGCCTTCCCCACCCAGGAACAGCAGCTCTGCGTAGGGCCCATCAAGCTGCAAAGCCCATCTTAACTCCGAGAAAAGCCCAGGCATGTTGGACACGTTATACTACTATTTGGAAAAGTTCATGTCCCAAGAAAATGCTTTGATTCCCTTGGCTCTTCCTAGCATACTCCCTGGCACACAGGAGGTATTTGATAAAAATAATCTAGACGATGGAGCCTGGGACAGGAAACTCCGTTCTCAGAAGATCCACATAGAAGCAGAGAGCAGGGCCTAAGGGAAGAGCTGAAGACTGGGGGCTGGAAAAGGCACCAAGGCAGCACAAAGATCTGAGTTCAGATCCCCAGAACCCACGTTCAAGCTGGGCATGCCTGTGACTCCAGCACTTGGTAGGGGAAGGGAGGCAGGCAGATTCCCTAGACTTCATTGGTCAGGCAGCCCGGCCAACCGGTGAGGCTAAAGACTCAATGAGAGAGACTCTTGCTCAAAAAATCAGGTGAAGAGTGAGAAGGCACCTGACGTCAACCCCTGGCGCACACACGCGAGCGCGTGCACACACACACACACACACACACACACACCCGCGCGCGCACGTGCACACACACACACACAGGAACCCGCATTATGCTCCTTAACACACAGATTTTAAGAACTGAACTCAAATGCCGCCACTTCTGCCCTTCCTGGTCCTCAGTTCCTCTGGCCACTCAAGTCCCCATCGTCCTTTACATCCACCCAAACTCACTGCACACCAGGCCACCCAAGAATCCTCGTCTTTGTCAGTAGACGCATATCACCCGTAGGCGTGCCAAATGTAGTCAGAATGACGGGCAGCTGCAGCAGAGCAGGATGGGAAATATCCATACAAAAGCAGAAGACGGAGAAGCAGAGTGAATTCCAAATTTCTTTGTAAATGTTGATTAATGTGGACGTCCAGAACAGAATCAAAAAAGCCACTCTTCCTACACGGGGATGAGCTGTTAGAGGAGGGCACAAACGTGCACGTGTCTGTAATTCTGGGACCAGCAACTAAAAAGTCAAGAAGCCAAATAAACTGTGGCTGAAACAAAAGATAATCTATGCTCAAATCAGTACTGAAAGTAGCTCAGGGGAAGGAGGAGATGTGGTATCTATTTTAGAGTGACTGCAGATTAACCACAAATTCAGCCCAAATATAGCCGAGTGCTGTTCCATGCCACACAAGTACTGCGTACTAACCGACCACGCATCTGGAACTTCTACCGTATTTCAAAGCGCAATGAAGAAACGCTCTAAGGGACACCGGGGCAGACATGCTGCAGAGGAGCAGAGACGGGAAGGTTACAAGTTTGAGGACGCACGGTCCAGCCTACATAGCAAGACCTGCCACAAACAAAAACCAGAGGGAGGAAAGAGGAGAAACAAAAAGACAAAGCAAGCTATGGGGGGGATGTGGAACACAGGGAAGCAGACGCCGCCCGCGTCATCGTCGCTTTCTTATAAACCTAGCACAAAGCATTTAAACCGTAAGGCCCAGTTAAAGAGTAAAGTGCCTTCAAGGGGACTTGTGGGTGACTAACCCAGGAACAGAGTAAGAACCCCCTTACTCCCTTCCAGGACCCCCACCTTCTCCAGCCCCCACAAACTGTTAACTGGCAAAATAAGAGCAAGTGGCAATCAAGCAAGCTAAACCTAGGGGCAGAATTCCACAAACCCAAGAAGCAGATCCCTACAGCTCCAGAGGCAAGGACTCCACCCCTCTCCTCTAAGAGAGAGGCGTCCGAGTTTACCGCTTGGGATGTGTGCCAATAGCGTGATACGAGGAAGGTAACTAGAAAACACATGGACGGGGTCCTGAGTCTACATATGTCCAGGGAAAGGCCAGATGGGGCAGAAGGGTAAGAAATATACACGCATCCTAAATACGTGCAAGATTTGCATTTGATGAATCAGTTCCATAGTATCAAACATTTGCAGTGTCTGAAGTGTAATCCCTTTATGAATGAAAGCTTTCACAAATACGCTCATTAGGGTTCTTATGACTTTTATGACCTCCCCCAACATACACACACACACCATGCAATGCAAAAAATAATGATAAACAATAAAGGTGGTAATTGCAGAGCAGGGTATGGAAGTGCAGGTCTGTCACACCAGCACTTGAGAGGCTGAGGCAGGAGGATTGCTGCAATTTCAAAACCAATCTGGCCATAGGTTAAGAGTAACGAGGGCCTTCTGTACAGATTTGCCTTTCTGACGGCAGACTGTGACAAGACAGAGCCCATCTTGGCCTTGTCTAACTTAGCTATACTGAACGGAATGCAGATTGGGTCAAGAGAGAAGGGACATGAGGGATGAGTTGTGCCATGCCGGTGGCCCTTTTTCTGTCCTTACCAGTTTTATTTTGGAAGAAAGAGTCTCTGGCAGTTTCGTCTTCAGCTGACTTGTCTCCTTGAATGTCGGTGGGAATCCACTGAGGAAGGCCAAGTCTTGCATGAGCACTAAGCCGGGGACTTCTTTGTCAGTCGTCTGAAATAAAAAGACTCAACTCGCCTTCAGAGTCTTGAAGTGGGAGAAAACTTACGGGGGGGGGGGGGCTGGCGCACTCCTGCTGTGCTTTGGGGGGGGGGTTCACATTAAATACCGCGGTATCGGGTCACTCACTGGCACCAGGAAGCTAGTGTGGGAGGAAAGGCTCTTAAGGAGCAAAGCATGGCGGTGCAGGACTGCAATCCCAGCATTCCCAAGGGGCAGGCAGGAAGATTGCAAGTTCAAGGCTAGATGGGACTACACAGCAAGACCTAAGGAAAACAGCTTTATTACCCATCCTTTTATTCTAGACTAATGGGAAAGTACATACCAAGTAGGCTCTCCAGACTGTCTGTTTGCTGCCTCCCTTAAACAGTCCAGCATGGGCATCTTCAACTGTAGGAAGCAATGTGAGAGACAAGCACACGTTGAACAAACACTCACCTAACTTAACTCTCTGGCAGAGCACTATGCAGACCATGGGAGCTAGTAAATCAGCATAATACATGGTTTCCAAAAAAGCAGTCAGAGATGATAAAATTAGCACGTTCAACAAAGAAAGCACACTCTAAAGCAGTGTATAATTGGACACTGAATTCTGCATTGCCAAGAGATTTATGCAGAGATGAAAGGCAAGGATAATGGGATGATAGATGTGATGTAACCGCAAACATGGGCGAGGGGGAGAAAAAAAAAATAAAAGCATTGTCTGATTACGTTAACACCTCTGGGAATGCCGTTACTAGCCAATAAGAGTAGCCAGACAAGGGGAGGGAGGGATAAATATTCCCTTAAGAGGCAACTTTCTCAGAGTCAGGGTGGTGGCCACAACCACAAGAGAAGTATGAAGCAAAGGGGGCAGGTGACCCAGTGAAGGTGCTCAGGATAAAGGGAAACCGGAAGCTCCCAGGCTGCAGGGTTTGTACAATATTATTGGAAGCTGTGTTACTTCTGTTTATGCTCTGGCACATTTGTTTAATGATGCAAAGGCATGCTTGACCAAATAAAATTCACCTGCAGCGGGAGGCTGGGTCAGCAACTGGCTGACAGGAAGTTGTAGGGAGGAGCCAGGTGGAGAAGGGTTTTTAAGGAGAGGCAGGAGGGCTTCTGGGGAGACCAGCAAGGAGGAGCTACTTGCTATTCGGCCTCTCTGAACTCAGGCTTCCACCTCAGTCTTGGATCTTTAGATAAGCTCCCTGTGTAGCTGTCAAAGAGTCAGTGCCTGAGGGAATTCCCTCAGGCTGGGGCTCTTGAAGCCTAACTGCTGCGGGGCAAGAGTTGTAGTTGCTGATTCAGACAGCCCTGGAGTACAAGGCAGAGACAATTCAAAAAAAAAAAAAAAAAGAGGACAACATCCGGCTCCGACTGGGATCTTCCAGAGTGAGGTCCTGCACATTACAGGCTGGGGAGAGGGGCAGCAACCCTGGGCAGAGGTGTCAAGCCCGTACCAATGGGACTGAGGGGGCAGCACCTGCTTAGGTGCACACGACCCTGGGAAGGCTGCAGGAAAGCGACGGTAGTTCACTCCTACAATCTCAATGCTCACCAAGTTGATGAAAGACTGAGTTCAAGCCCAGCCTGTGCAGTGAATGCTAGGCCAGCCAGGGCCATACATAGTACCCTAGCTCAAAATACACGACCACCAGTGATAACATAGGGCAGCAGCCGCATGGACAATAGGAGTGACACCCGGTATTATGGAAGGAGCTTGACAGCTTTCATGGCACCCAGGTGAAATTCAGTGTCTCCAGGTAGAGATGCCCAATGAACAGGGTGACTGAGACCCGAGCTGGGACGCACGCGTGGCCCCGGCACAGGGACGAAGCAACTCCATGCCAGGACTAATTCCACAAGCTACGGAGCCACCCATTGCCCTCCAGACAGCAGCTGGGGACGCCTCACACTCTGGAGGCCACAGGGTAAGGGCAGGGGGTCTAGCACAGACGGCTCTGTGGAGACTCTCTTCCCAGCCGTAGCCAGAGTCATCTTGTCAACTCCCCAGGGGAGGGCGGGAGTCTGGGGTATTACAAAAGCATGCTAACTGTACTCATGAAGGCTTAGCCTTCACACCCTGATCATCTCTTTGGGAGTTTGGATTTCACTGTGTGAAGTAGAAGGAATACAAGCCATTTCTGAATAGAGAGCATAAATGCTCTGGTATGCCCCGTCCAAACTGCAGAACACAATCTCATTGAGTTATATGGTAAAAAAAATAAAACAACAACAACAAACAGCCTGACTTTGAGCCTGGAGAAGGAAGCACTGTTTGTGTGCCAGACTGAAGGTCCTCTAGAGTATCCAGAACACCAACTATGATGCGTCTGCGTGGAGGAATTGTTTGCCGCCCTTTCCTGAGATAAGATGGCTTACAATGCAATGCAACAATGGCTCTTTGGCTTCCCTCAGGACATTTTTAGTTTATAAGGCCACTCTTAAAAACGGAATCACTTGTTGCATGCAGAATTCTGTTATTCTGAGTATCAGTGACAACATGGTTTAAATATACACTCAGGCAGCTGGGTATGGTAGCACACCTTTGATTTCATTGCTCAGGAGGCAGAGGCAGGTGGATCTCTGTGAGTTAAGAGGCCAGCCTGGTCTGCAGAGTGAGTTCCAGGACAGCTGGGGCTACATAATAGAGACCCTGTGCCCACAATGAAGCCAATAATAATAATAATAATAATAATAATAATATACACACAAGGGCTGGAGAGATGATTCAGCAGTCAAGAGCACTTGTTGCTCTACCTAAGGACTTGGGTTCAATTCCTAGGACCCATATGGCAGCTCACAACACTCTACAACTCCAATTCCTGGGGATCCAACATGCCCCTCTGGCCTCCAGGCACAAGGAATACAGACATGCATGCAGACAAAACACTCATACACACAAAATAAAACAAACAAACAAACAAAAGACAGAAAAAAATCTTACCATCCTTAGTGCTTTCAAAAACAACAACTGACACGTTTGTCGAAGGATTTTTGGGTTTTGCAACATTGAACATGTCACTGGCAGCATGAAGAGATGGGTAAAGAGATGGCAGGTCTTTCAGGGTGCTGTTGGCTGGCAAAGGCGGATCCAGAACAAGCATGGGCACTTTAATGCAATGTGTCAGTAGACACTCCAGCTGTTTCTCACTGCAGAGACAAACAACATTACCCAGTTAAAGCTGTGGCCACTGCTAAGGAGGCAGGGTTAAAAACCCTATAACCTATACAAAATCGTCATAGCTAAATAAGTTAGGATAACCTCAAGAATGCTAATGTTTTGTTATTAACCATGGAATAAAAATAACAGGACACATTTTAAAGACACCTATTAATTATAAGAGTACCAGTGAAGGGTGATTATCTCACACTTGAAGGATGAGGTAAGAGGATCAATTGTGAATTCTACGCCTATGAAAATGTGTTCAGTGGGGCAAAATATTAAGTTTGACACCAACATTTGCTAACTTAAAAACTCATAAGAAATTAAGCACTTCAGTAATACCTTTAAATACATACATACATATGTATGTATGTTTGTATCTATAAGCACCTTGTTAGCATATTTGGAAAGAGATTTTGGCCAACAGTATCATGTAAGTGGATACAATTTACCCACCCCGACTAGAGCAATGTGAACTACATAGGACATTACACTGATACTAAAGCAGCAAGTGTAGCAAGGTTCTAAAGTGAACATGTGAGAGACTTTTCTATCTGAATAAAAGAAATCCCTTTGAGAGTTACCTGAATAAAAAAAGTAGCACAGCTAGAAAGTTCACAAAGTGAACTAGTACAAGGATGTGTGAAACTGTTCAACCATCTTAGCTAATAAAGAAATGGAAAAAGAGAGCAACTGTTACCCTGTCTACTCAGTCAGCATCCCTCAAAAAATGGTGACTCAGAGCTAACCAAAGCACTGTAAGTCTGTCCCTCTCAAACATATCTGGCCTCATAGCTCACAATGTGGTACTATATACACACGATATACTTATAACATGTCTGCACAATGTACTGCGAGGTATGAAGCATGAGAATGATTCATTGATATAGGAATTAAAAAGCAGGACATCTTAGGCTATGAACTATGACAGTTGTGAGCTGAGTGCAGCCATACATTCGTCTGATCCCAGCACTTGAGGAAGAGGCGGGAGGATCAGGAGATCAAGGCCATCCTCAGCTATGCAGTGAGTGTGAAGGCTAGCCTGAGCTGTATGAGAGCGTCTTTCAAAAATAAAAACAAAAACAAACAATGGAACAGACTATTGAGAACCGAGGGTCAGGATCGTCTCCATAAACAACCCCTTTACATCTAAAAAAGCAGTTAAGAAGCTTCTGTTTGTCAGTGAGAGCTGATTTAAGTTAGCTCATTAGGGCCAAGCATGACTGAAACCACTATACCAAACAAGACAGATATATCTGGTTCTTGTCATTGGGCTGAATCCCCTTCCTGGGCCTTAAATATTTACCATCTCACAGCTTCCAAAGATAAGGAGAGATTATAAATGGACAAATACATGATGTGCATACACTTTATAGTCAAAACACAGGGTATAATTAGCTCGAAGAGGCCAAGAGAACAATGCATCAAGACAGATAAATGAGTACTCCAAGCTTGCCAGAAACAAGCAGGGCCTGGCTGGCTGGAACAGAAACACCTGAGCGCTCAGTCAGTCATGCTGCTGAGCACTGCAAACTCGCACTTAATTGGGGTGTCAAAAATAGCAGGGGTTGGGCCCAATATGAGCAGTAGCTTAAGTGCAAAACAAACAGTGTGTGCCCACAGTGAGGAGTCGGGTGACCCTGACTCTTCAGTTCAGCCTTCCCAGCTGGATTCCCCAGAGGACGACGCTAAACCACTTACCTCTTCTTTGTTGGCTCTGTTGTGTTCTTCCCAAGCATCTCCCTGGTCAGAAGCAAACACAGACTGTTACACACGCATCTGCTAGCGCTAACCCCAAATGGGAACAAGGGACAGCTTACACCGCTGCCTTTCCTGGTGACCTCACCTGAACTAAGTTGCCAGTAGCAGTGCTTATGGCATTGGAAATGTAAACAAACCGTGTTCCAATGAAACACTACCAGTGGCCCCTGAACCTCCCCCAACTTATTATAAGCAATAAAATTCACTTAAAATACCATCTTGTTATTTTCCTTCCCAAATGCGGCTGCCAGGTGCTTTATGCAGTCTGTACCCACGACAGACAGAAGCCGTTGAAGTGCCTGGTGCAAGCGACCGGCAACTGCAGTGCACCGGTGACACTTACAGGGAAATGGCTGGGGAGCAAGCGCCTAGCAAATCTTCCAAACGAGAGGGGGGAGAGCGAGGCAGCTCTGAGTGACCCCCCTGCCCACTACACCTACGTGAGCTCAGAGCCACGCGTGGACGTTCGTACAAACGGCTTTACCTCATAGCTTTCTGCTCCTCCTCCATTTGCTCTCGGACCTGTTGTAGCTCCTTTAGAAGATCCAGGTCTGTGCCGTTCACCCAGGTGTAAACCACATCGATTGGCATGGGCAGACAGAGCCTAGGGCAAACCACAAGTTCTCCGGCTTAATTATAGGTTTTCCAGGGGGGAAAAAAAAAAGAGTATAACAGAACTTAGATTTAACAATTTAGACTAAAGCTAAGTTGGTGGTGGCGCCACCTGCCTTTAATCCCAGCACTCGGGAGGCAGAGGCAGGTGGACCTGAGTTCAAGGCCAGGCTGGTTTACAGAACAAGTTCCAGGGTAGCCATGGCCACACAGAGAAACCCGGTCTAGAAAAAAACAAAAGACATCGAAACAAGCAAACAACAACGAAGAGTTTAAATTTAGACATTGTCAGAGAAAAATCGATGAAAAGGCCATAGAACTTCGGCATACACTTCCGACAGAAACGGTGTGTTTTCCAGGGACCACTGGGAGGGAGTGGTGTCTATCAAACACCATCTCTATGAACTGCAATATGTTAAAAATAAACTTTGTGAAAGTTCTATCATTTAATCCTCACAACCATTCTGTAAAGAGACTGATGTCTTTTTCTTTTCGAAGATTACTTCAGGGACTCTCTAGGTGGTTCAGTGAATTCAAAATGCTTGCTGCACAAACCTAAGATCCCCTGGGAGGGCTCCACACCGGCTCCCGCACACAACAACCACAACAACAATAAATGGAAGACTAATGGAGGAGAATCAAGAGACAAAAGTAGCTCCTTAGAGGCCTTGAGTTTCCGCGGAGCAGGAAGTGCCTGATCATCAGGCATGGGTTTCTGTCTGGGTGATGAAAAGTTCTAGAACTAGATGGTGATGACGGCACTGTGAATGCACCTGGTGCTGCTCTCAACCATACACTTTTAAAATGGATAAAACGCTAATTTCCGTGCTAGGGTACGTTTTACTATTACAGGAAAGTCTCTAGCAGAGTAAGAATAATTATCCAGGAGCAGAGGGCTTAGCCTTAGAACTCAGCTTAGATTGGATAGTCTGTCACTCATATATTCCACAAATACAGGATCAGCAGAATCAAGTGTGGCCAAATCTAGAGTGGTAACCAGACTTAAGAGTACAGGGGCCGGATGGTGGTGGCACACAACTTTAGTCTCAGCACTCAGGAGGCAGAGGCAGATGGATCTCTGTGAGTGTGAGGCCAGCCTAGTCTTCAAAGAGAATTCCAGGACAGGCTCCAAAGCTACAGAGAAACCCTGTCTCGAAAAACCAAAAAAAAAAAAAAAAAAAAAAAAAAAAAGTAAAACACAGTGAGTGATGAAGACCCGGTCCAACCCAGCCTCCACCTTCTGTCTCAGAAGGCCGCTTGAGTCCAGCCCTCTTCTTTTCTTTGGTCCAGAGCACTTGACATCTTTCTAATACAGTAAATGACTACCGTGATGCCTCTCCTATGAGTTACAATGCCCTTCCTGTGAAAGCAACCTCCAAGAAGGCAGGATTCCTCCTGGCTTTGCTTCCAGAAGCATCTGAGGCAGTGTAGCACCCTGCACAGAGGGGCCAGTCTGGGAGAAAAGCTGATGATGTGGGTGAGGCAGGAGGAGGTGTTTTTCCCCAACCTGGTCTTGTGTTTTAATCATCCTCAAAAGAAGTCAGGCCCAGCCTTGCCTTAGTGTTTCTGTTCAGGTTTTAGCCACCAGAAGAATGTTCTCATTTAGCTCACCAACTTACAGAAAGAATGAGAGAGAGAGGGAGGGAGGGAGAGAGGGAGGGAGGGAGGGAGGGAGGGAGGGAGGGAGGGAGAGAGGGAGGAAGCCCACAACTCTGACCTGATACAGGTTTCATATCTGTGTGTTGACATTCTAGATGGTTCTTTCCATTTTCCAAATAAATGGACAGTTTCTCTTTGTTGTATGGCCCTACTTCCAGAGCTTGCCCTTTGTGATAGTTAATTTTGATTATCAACTTGATTAGATTAAGAGGCATCCAGGGCATCGGGAGCCCCAGGCTTGAGTGCACCTCTGAAGGCATTTCAGGGGAGGGTGAGCTGGGGGAGGGCACCCTCAGTGTGGACAGCAGCACATCCCCGGTGGCTGGAGGATCAGATGAAAGGGGAGAAAGGAGAAAACTAGCGAGCACTGTTTCTGCCTTCCCTTTCCCATCCACCCACCTCTTCCAACTGCCCCATCCGTAAAGCCATTCATGCCAGTGTGCCTCCCCCTGTATGAATCAAGAGCCAAACCACACAGAGACGAGGAAATACACTGTCCTTTTTCCTTCTTACAGCCTGGATATGGAGTTAGGCTTCTGGATATATATATATATATATATATGTGTGTGTGTGTATATATATATATATATACACACACACACACACACACACACACACACACACATATATCCTTTTTTTAAAAATCATGGATGAATTATCCCATGGGAAAATAGTCAAAATGACCACCACCTTTTGTCTGAAAGATGTGAGCAAGCAATTGGTGGCACATGCCTGTCATTACAAAACTCTCAAGAGGCCCAAGATGGGAGGTATCTGAGTCAGCCTGGGTTATAGAGACCCTGCCCCCACAAAGATCTGGCACTTATATTCTAGTTGAGTAAAAACAGGAAATAAATGAAATAGATGAGAAGTCAAAGATGTCATATATCACAAAGAAAATAAATGCAAAATGGGGTTAGAAAGCACGTCTATGTAAGACTATTTTTACACAGATATCAGAGAGAGCCTTATTGAGAAATTAGTTTTGGGGGCTGGATGCAGCCCAGTGGTAAAGCGTTTCCTTACTATGCATGAGGTCTATGGCCCCATCCTCAGCACTGGGGAAAGAATGCTGAGAATATATGTCCTAGTAGAAAAGAAGTAAAGTGTGGAGACAAGCCAGTTTGGAAGTGAAGGAAGGAACACTCCAGGAAAGGCATTCTGGTGCGTGTGAGGCACCCATCTGGCTTTCCCAAGAAACTAGGAGACCAAACCAACAGAAGACTCTAACTAGAAATGGAGATCAGGGAGATAAGAGGTCAAGACAGCGAGGATGCATGTGACAGCTGAGTGAAGAGTCACCACTGTCCAGGCACATCTAATCTTCACAATCCATAGTCCTCGGGACATCCTGCTTTAGAGTTAAGAAGCTGCAGGATGCTCTTACGCTTGCTTTCACGCCACCTTCAGTCACTTCTTCCTCCTCAGCCCAGTCTCTGGAAGAGACCTCACTCACAGTGTGGCTCTCCCACAGAGAGTCTCTATGTGCTCTATGGCACAGAGACTTATGAGTTCCGGACGCTCAGCCTAGCGTAGGCTCGTTTCTTGGCTAGCTCTTTTAAGTTAACGCACTTCTCTTTATCTACCCTTTGCCTCGGGCTTTTTTACTTTTCCTTCCTTCTATATGTCTGACTTTCACTGCTTCTCACATCTCCGGCTGGCGGCTGCCTGCCCCAGGCGTTTCCCTGTTCACTCCCTCCTTTTTATTTTCTCTGCATGACAGTATTGCCCATCCTTTCTCCTCCCTTGCTATTGGCCATTTAGCTCTTTATTAGACCAATCAGGTGCTTTAGGCAGGCAAGGTGGAAAAAAAAAAAAAAAAAAGAAAAAAAGCAACACATCTTTGTTATGAGTTGTTTCCCTGCCAGCCTGGTCTGGCCCCAGAGTTGTGCTGGCCCCAAATAACACACAGAGACACTGTATTAGGTAAAATGCTGTTGGCCAGTTACTAGTGTTTCTTATTGACTAGCTCTTAACTATTAACCCATTTCTATTAATCTAAGTATTTCCACATGGTCTCATCTTACCAGTGGGCCCAGACCTCTGTTCTCTCAAGTCTCTCCATGCTGACTCCTCCTTCCTACTTCCTCTCTCCTCCTTGTCTCCTAGTCCCACCTGTCTTCCTTTCCTGTTGGCCAACAGTGCTTTATTCATTACCCAGTATGAAAAACATATTTACAGAATGACATCTCCCATCACATCTTTATATAATTATCAAATACGGTATAAACAACAGTAACACACCTTTACACAATTAAAGTAGTATTATACAGCATAAACAAATGTAACACATCTTTGCCTAGTTACCTTGACTGTCCTGGAACTTGCTCTGTAGACCAGGCTGGCCTTGAACTCACAGAGATCCGCCTGCCTTTGCCTTCTGAGTGTTGGAACTAAAGGCGTGTGCCGCCACCACCGTGTGTGTGTGTGTGTGTGTGTGTGTGTGTGTGTGTGTGTGTTGGTGTGTGTGCTGCATTGGGTGCTTGTTTCTTTGCAGCAGTGAAAGCATGCGCATGTGTAGAGGACAGAGGATAACTCTTGAGGAGTCAGTTTGGGACAGGATCTGTCTCTCTGTGGCTGTGTACCCCAGCCATGGCTGGGCCATGATCTGATTCTCCTGTCTCTGCCTCCCATCTCCACTTAGGGATATACTGGGGTTACAGAACCAATACTGCATGGATTCTGAGCAGCTAAACTCAAGTCATCAGGCTTGTGTGACAAGCATTTATAACCTAACAATGTAAAGTAATAATAAGAAGAAACCTGCTTGATTCAATATATTTTCCAGAGAAAAGGTGGGAAGGGATGGAAGACAGGATGCATATTCTGACATTTTCATTCTTCAGGGGTTTTGATAGAATCAGAAGATCTAGGCAAATGTTCAGCTGAAGAAAACAAGTCAAGTTTGTACGTGACTTATACACTGGCTCTTCAAATGAGCCTGTTATCACATGCCCAGTTTAACTCGTGGCTTAAATTAAAAGGCCTAGAAGAGGTCACATGGCCAGCTCATGGTCATGAGTCAATGGTTTTTCTATCAGGCATGGCAGTAATGAGGCTGAGCCCTTGGCTCTAACTACTGGGCCATGATCTCAGTTTCCAGATGAGAAGGAAGCCTGGACCAGAACAAAAGTGATGGTGACAAAACTGTTTGTATTCAAACCACTACTTAAAGTAACTTTTAAAGACACTGAGCAGACCTTTAGTTCTACAGTAGGAAGAAGAAAAAAAAAAAAAACCCACAGAACTAAAATAGGATTTAAACACAATATAATACCCATGTTTAACCCATGATGAAATAGGGCCCTTGAATGAACGGCTGCCTGGAAATCAGTAGTGGCGGATGATTACATATCTGCTTGTTACTAACACAGAGACTGGGATTGCCTTTTCATTCAGAGTAAATGACACTAGTAAAAAATTGTACAGAAACTAACAGAATGATGGGAGATGTCAATAAACATTATACTACTTAGTGCAACCTAAAAATAGTAGGAACATCAGCCGTAAGGATTTTAGGCTGCAATCCCGGCACTTGGGAGACTGAGGCAGGACTCTGAATGGAAGGCCAGACTGAGCTACATACAGAGTGAGACCTGTTTTAAAAAGAAATAAATCGAAAACCAAATTCTTTAGAGAGCTGGGTATGGTGGTACGCATGTTTAACCCAAGCACTCAGGAGGTAGAGGCAGGCAGATCTCTTTGTTTGAGGCTAGCCTGGTCTACACAGCAAGCTCCAGGCCAGCCAGGACTGCAGGTGCTCATCCTCACCCTCCCCAGCACTGGGATTCACAGGTGTGCGCCTGGCTGCTTGACCCAGGAGATGGGGACTGCTCTGGGCCTTGTACTTCCTTATTGAGCTTCACCAGCAGATCCATCTCTGAAACCAGAAACTCTATTTTCTAGGCAACAACAATCAAATTTAAAGAGAGGCATTATTGTAATTTCTGAAAAATCTCTGTTAGGCTCATCTCACAATTCTGGTTTCAACCTGAAAGGTTTTTAGAAAAAACTTCCACTCGCATAGACAGATGGGGGGCATCTTTCAACGGCTTTTTCAGACAACCGTTTATAGTCTTCTCGGACACTAAAAAAAAAAAAAACAAAATCAGTCATAGTGACTTCAGGGTTAGCTGCAGCATGGGATCTGAAGACACGTAAGGGACTTCCAGGGTGTACATTATCCTTGCGCTCTGAACAGCTCAATTATTAATGCAAGAGTCAGTAACACCTCACACTGGAAAACAACAGCTTAAACAGTCACGGGAATCTGCCAAATGCTGATACATTCTATCAACCTCCTTATGTAATGTTAGGGAGGCGAGGCCAAAACTAACCACAAACACACCCTGAAGCTGTTACTGTCACCAGGAGGGAAGCAAGGTCTATACACCTGAAAACTCAAATGTTGTCATTACCTTCAAATGGCAAGACCACCTTGCTCAAATACATACATACATACATACATACATACATACATACATACATACATACATTCATACGACTAAGTCTGAGGAATCACACTGTTTGTCCTATCAAACAAGAGTTACCATGGAAAGGATGGCTGGTTGATGCTCCGCCCCTTGCTTGTCACTGCCAAGGGTGAACTAACCAGGACAATGCAGGAGAGCTCACCCTGGTGGTGAGGACCGGGGAGAGCTGGGGGGCTGACCCACCCTGCAACTACCAGGCCCAGAACCAGGGTTATAAGTTGACCCATGCCAGCATCCACCCCATCTGTGACCTGCTGGAGCACGTGAAGGGATGAGTCCTACAGACCCAAAGCTGCAGGATCTCCACAACACAAGGCAACAATAGAATAAGTCCCCGTGAGGGCCCAGCATCGACGGTGCAGCAGAAGCCAGAGGGCTCAAACCAGACCAATGACTTCCTGCAGAGAACACTTACAAGTGAGAACATAGGGTTACAGGAGCTTACTGTGTGACTCACACTACAGCTCCATGACAACACTGATCCTTTTTCCTTCTCTCTTTTTCTTAGACTTATTTTATTTTATTGGGGTGGGGGTGGTGTCACAAGGGCTTCAGGTGGATACGAAGGAACAGGGAAGTGAATGGAATGGAGGTGCATGGTGTGCAAGATAGAAAGAGTAAGCAGAGGAGGGGAAAAGATGGCTACTTGAACTTGTGACTCAATGCCCAACGGCTTTTACTTAAGCAATCACCATGTTGCTCATATGAACATCATCTAGGACAGTGGTTCCCACCCTTCCTAATGCTGTGACCCTTTAATACAGCTCCTCATGTTGTGCTGACCCCAACCATAAAATCATTTTCATTGCTACTTCATAGCTGTAACTTTGCCACTGTCATGAATTGTAATGTAAATATCTGATAGATGGGATATCCGATATGTGACCCCATCATGACCCACAGGTTGAGAAACACTGATCTAGGTCATTAAAAAGATATATACCCAAGGATCAACAAATAGTAGGTTAACAATTGTCACTGCTTCATCTTGAGCATTATAAACAGAACATCCTGTTTTGTTCCTTTTACGCAATGCAGTGATAAAATGTTAGGGTGTGAGCAATTCTACACACCACTGTTTTTATACCATTCACTAACGCATAGCTTTTAAAAAGCAAATAGGATCATGCATTTGTTAGAAAAAGATCTTATATTTCACTGCCCCGTTGAGGTCTTAGATCTTGTGTTTGTTTCACTGAATCCCTGAGGCCTTGGGGAGCCTGTGTCTGAAAGCTGCTGCTTTGAAGACCCTAAGGATGGCTGTCCCTCCCTTACTTTGACTACACATTCTCTCCCCTACTCACGGTTAACTCAGATCATACATCTCCATGTCTAGAACAGGGTGGATTGGAGAGAGTCAATCTTTGTGAAAGGGATGCCACTTTAGTGAACACTGCAGACCAAAGCAAAATGTAAAAGCTTGGGCTGGAGCAGGGACAGCCCAGTCACAAGGAGCTGAGTTCAGAGCCCAGCACCTATGTAAATTCCTAGCTGTGGGAACACACACCTGTTATCTCAGTTGGAGGTAGAGATAGGAATATCGGAATATCGCTGGTGAGAAACCTTGGCATTCACCATCCATCCATCCAAGCCAAATCCACAAGCTCCATGTTCCATGTTCAGTGAGAGACTTCGTCTCCAAAAATTGAAAAAAGAAAACACACACACACACACACACACACACACACACACACACAGCTCTCCCGAATCATTGCCAACGATGTACACTGCTGTTATGATATAGTGTTTATTTGGGTTGGAGAGTTGGCTCAGCAGAAGAACTGGATTTGGTTCCTAGCACCCAGCTCAGGCAGCTCAGAACCACCTGATACTCCAGTTTGGGAGAATCTGATACCCTCTTCTGGTCCCCATGGGCAGTCACATGAAATTGCACATAGCCACATACAAACGCATAATTAAAAATAAAATACTTAAAATAAATAATAGTTTTCTAGACAAAAAAAAAAAAAAGGACCTATGTGATTCATTTTGTCTGTAAGAAGGGACATAGGATATTGGGAGAGGGAAGAATGGAGATTGCTTCTATTCTGAGTCCTGGCTTATCTTATGAAGGAGGAAATCTCTAAGAGTAAAACTAAAGACAGTAGCAGGGTGGAGGTGGTGCACGCCTTTAATCCCAGGAGTCAGGAAGAGGCAAGAGGATCTCTGTGTGTTTGAAGCCAGCCTGGCCTACAGAGTGAGTTGCAGGACAGCTAGGGCTGTTACACAGAGAAACCCTGTCTTGAAAAACCAAAACCAACCAACCAACCAAAGACAGCATTTCAGGAAGCTTCACCTCCACAGAAGTATAGCATTGAGACTATTGCTACCTCAGAGGCAGGATGTGATAACCAAAAATGCCTGGTCCAGCCCTTGCAGTTACTATGGGCGTGCCTTGGTGGACAGAGTTCTGGTACACTGGCCAGTGCTCACAACTGGTTGTACAGTGGCAACCTGGTTTCCTGTCATAGATGAAAGTGTCTGTGCCTCACAGAACTAGAGAGAAAACGAGTCCTTGCAACTCAGCCTATTCAACCCTGTAAGGAAAGAGTACTTCGTGGAGATCAAGAATTTTCACCTACAAAATAAGATGAACTAGATGCTTTCTCCAGGTGGGCGTATATATTCTGAAATATATGAAGCCATTTCCATGTGACCTGAGGTTCCCAGAACAAAGACACACTGGTATTAAAGGTTCTACAAGGATAATTGACTGCCTAGAAGCACTGGTAGAGAGAATGTTGCAAATTCAGAGCCAAATTCTCTTGGGCGTTTTTCTTTGGTTTTCTGAGACAGCCACTTTCCTAATATTTCCAACAATGTGTTTACAAAATACATTTATGGCTGGGGACATTGGTGGTGCATGCCTTTAATCCAGCACTCGGGAATCAGAGGCAGGTGGGTCTCTGTGAGTTCAAGTCCAGCTTGGTCTACAGAGTGAGTTCCAGGACAGGCTCCAAAGCTACAGAGAAACCCTATCTCGGAAACACAAACAAACAAACAAACAAACAAACAAACAAACAAAAAAAGAAAGAAAGAAAGAAAGAAAAGAAAATACATTCATGATTTTCTTTTGCTACATAACTATAAAAATTTGATGAACCAGTTTCCACATAGGAACATATTATTTGGCACAACTCGAATCCATGCTCCTGGCCATATATATTTGCCTCAAAAGTAAATTATTTCTTATTCCCTTGGAGGTGAGAGATGGGTTTTGTGTTGACATAAACAGTCAGGACAGATCTCTTTAAATGAGCACCACATTTAAAACATGAAGGAATTCATGGCTTATTCTTTAAATTCAAATAATAGATACACCAAAAAGTAACTCTCACCTATTCTGAAAGGATTTCCCAGCAATATTGTCTCTGTAGGAATCAAACAAAACATGGTATTGATCCCGACTCCACTCCAGAACCACCTAGAATAAAAAGAAAAAGAAAAATACCAATACTTTGTGCATCAAAAACTAACCGTTCAATACAAAAGTTCATTTCAGTTCATAGACAACCGTGAAAGACATCCTGGGGAGGGGGGCTTTACCCTCTCCAAGGAGCCATGGGAGGTGGGGGAGGGAGTGGGGGGAAAGAAAGGGGGGGCTAGGACTGTAATATAAACATAAATTAATAAAATAAATAAAAGCAGACTGTTGAGCGGTCCAAGGCGCCCACCCACTCCGCACTGCTCCACATCAGATGCCCTGCTCAGGCCAGTAAACGAGCTGAGAGGACTTAGCACCTCCCTGGCACGGGGATGAGCTCTGGGAATACAAAGCATTTAACAGGAGGTGATGTCTGAGTGGGGTTTTGAGGGGAGAGGAGAAAGGGACAATGTCAGCTAGTTGGAAGAGTACATTTGGGGCAGGCTGTTTGAGGGCAGCTGCGCGGTTGACTTTTTCAGGAGAACATGGGCAGAAACCAGGACAGAACGGAAGCCAGGCTAGGAAGCAGGGCCCTGACTATGACTTGCAGGCCGTGGATGGGTTAACAGAAGGCTGGAGGGCTGCAGGGTAGCCTATGCCCCACCCCAAGTCTGGGGAGGGTTCTCCTCAGAGCCTGTAAGAACACTAAGAGCAAGAGAAGAGGCTGGCATGATCGGGAGGACAGATGACCTTACTATGGTTGAGAACCACTGCTCTAAACCACTTTCCTCAGAATATTTACTTTTCTCTGTCATCGGGGCAATTTCTTGGTAAAATCTGAGATTAGGCGAACTACAATACTATTTCTAAAAGTGATCTCTGACACACCATACAATGTTACTAGCTTTAAAAAGTATAAATACCATTACGAGGCTTGTTATATCAGGTTAAAATGTGCGTGCGTGTGTGTACATCTGTGTGGATGTGTGTGGAGGTCACAGATCAGCATGGGATATCTCCCTCGGTTGCTCTCTGTCTTAACTATTTGAGGCACAGTGTCCCATTAACCCTGGAGCTTGCAGATTCTGCTAGACCGGGGATCCCCGGTCTCCGCCTCTCTCCGGCTCTGGGACCGAAGAACCATGCTCTGCACTCACATTTAATGTGGGTGCTAATGACAAGAACTCCGGAGACTGCACCATCTCCCTGCCTCCCATGTTTCCTACTTCTAGGAGTCTATTTTAATAATCATAGCAATCATAATCGGTTGCTGGTCCGTTTTTACAAAATGGCAGTCAAAGCCAGCCTGCATCCTCCCGAATCCCTGGAACAGGATGGTAACTGCAAAGCTGATGCCACAGATGGCTGTAGGGCTGAGTTCATGTCAGCTGGCTCTGCTTTTGCCCAGGCTGCTCCCTCACTTACCTGCAGTTGGCTTGTAAAATACACACTTATGAAACTCATGTTTACTTAACACGCCAGGCATCCAGTGACCCAGAACTATTTCCCTGAGATGGCCATAAATGGCCACAATTACATAAGAAGTATATGTTTTTATCCTGTCCTTACAGTGGCTAAAACTCTCAGATAAAGTAGGGAACTGACTCTAGTAAGTTATCCGCAGATTTCCACACGTATGCATGTATACACACACAACACACATACAGCAAAAATGTAATTTGAAGCTTAACGAAAAAATGAAGGCAAAGCAGATTTACATGACCCCACCTGGAAAGCATAGCCCTACATGTGGAGTGGGGGCGGGGGGATGGGAGGGAAGGGTGGGCAGGGTGCATATGGGGGGGAGGGTAAGAGGGAGGGAAGGAGAGGGAGGGAAGGAGAGGGAGGGAGAGAGGGAGGGAGAGGGAACTGGGATCGACACATATAAAATAAAATAAAAAAAAATAAAATAAATGAGGGTACAGTTCTTCCTCAAAGGAAGTTGGGACAGGAACCTGGAGATGGAAGCTGATGCAGAGGTCATGCAGGGTGCTGATTTTTGGCTTGCTCATCATGGCTTCCTCAGCCTGCTTTGTTTCTTTCTCTTTTTGGTTTTAAATCATAAGGCTTTCCATCTGATCACAGGATACAGGGACAGTCTGTAGGATGTCTCTAAGATCCTTTCTTCCTGGTTAACGTACTGCATGTATGAGTCACCCACAAGCTGACAAATCACCTGCTAAAGATACTGTCATCTGCACCACAAGATTGGAACAGAATGTCCCAAGACTGGAGAGACTTAAAAAGGCATACTGTGAATAAACGTCATCTATTACAAACACTGGATTGTTACACTCTAGACGGAATTAGAGAAGATGTCTACATAGGAATTATAAAAGTGCAAGACATATTAATAACTATTTGTGCCCCCTGCTACCCCATTAACACACTACAGCACACCGGACAACCCTTGTGAACCTCTCTGCTGTCTCTGGAGAACAGCTGTCAAGCATCGGCTGAGAGAGCTAGTCTCTCACTTCTGCCTATGTGAGCATCACAGCTAGAAGAGCTCCCCAAAGGGGACACATGGCACTTAATTAGCATTTATTGGATGCTTTCCACGGAGCACTTTGCAAGGTGCCTCGTAGACATCTGACACCTCATTTAACCCACCCGTCCTCACCAGGCTCGGTCACAATCAGTGTCTTGGTTAGGGTTTCTACTACTGTGATGGAAACTATGACCAAAGTAAGTCTGAGAGCAAAGGGTTTATTTCCACATCATTGTCAGTCATTGAAGGAAAGCAGGCCAGGAACTGAGGCAGGAGCTGATGCAGAGGCCATGGAGGGGTGCTGCCTTTATGTATTTATTTTGTGTATGGCAGGGGCATGTAAATCCCAGCACGGATGTAGAGGGAAGACCTGTAGGAATCTAGGAATCTCTCCTTCCACCACACGGGGCCTGGGACTCTAACTCGGGACACCAGACTCAGTTACTCTGTTCTCCTGATGTTAAGGCATTTACTCAGCCTCTTTGGTTGAGAAATGGTAGTTTCTCAATACCAGCACCACTGCTATTGGGCTTGGGTGACTTTTTTTGTTGTTGGGGATTTGTCCCATACATTAACAGCATTCCTTGGCTTCTACACATTAAAGCCCACAGCACTATTCCATCCCATGCCCAGCTATGATGATCTAAATGTCCCCTGGGGGAAATATCACTACCAGCTGAAAGTGAATGCCGGGAACTGCCCTGGCCTCCTCCCTCCTCTGCCTGAGTTATTTCTGGCCCTCCCGGTGGGCTCACACAGCATCAAGAAGCCACCTTGACCTAGGCCACTGAACAAATCCATTCTCACTGCCGGTCTCTCCCACCACACCCTTACATCTCTGCAGCACTGCTCACCATTGTGAGGAAGTAGCATTGAAGGCTCCCCTGTACAAGCTCCCTGTCTTCTTGACTGTTGTGCCCCCAGGGGCCTGGTTAAGTATTTCCCAACAGAATGGATGAGCCGGGCATTCTGTGGGCACAGCGGAGTTTTAAGGGTACAGAGATGCCATCCCCAACCGCAGGTTTCTGAGTACGGACTGGGAGGTTAAGTTTTATCCCCTGAGCGAGCCAGTTGCCCTGAAAAGCTGCTGTGCACATTTTCCTCTGAAGTGCCAAATACAAGAAACCACATGACAGCGCCAAGTGAGCAATGGACCAAACACTGCGTTCCCCACGGGCTGGAGGGGAATTCACCCCCATGGTGGCACGAAGGCACAGGGCCTGGAGGAGGCGGCTAGCCTTCTGTAACTGCTCCACCTCATCCGGGGACTGGCAGAGAAATCCTTCCAATCTCCCCAACTCAGGGAAAAGTCAGTGGATCACCAACACAGTTCACCATCGTTCAAATCGTAAATGCAACCCCTGCCTCACATCTGAGAAGCACAAAGAGCTGTCAGCTGTCTGTTCTCAGGAGGAGGTGGAAGTTGACGTCCCTGAATCAGCCCACACTCCCTAGCTGGAGCCAAAGACGGGTGTGGCATGTAGCAGAAGTGTGCCACACATGAGACAGACCCTAGCATCAGACCCAGACTCCCATCCCGACCCCAGAGTCGGAGGCTCCAGAGGTCATAGAAGAAGTTGCCAACCCATCTAAAATGAAAGGGTCTCATCAGGGATGACCAAGTGAGCCCTCTAAGCATGGCGCTAGGAGTGGTCTCTGAAGGATGCCCTCCCTTTAAGTTGTGACACTTACTTTCGTTTCCTTGCTGACTGACTTCTTCATGCTCTCTCACTGGGTTAGGACAGAGGGGGCACAAACCCATCTCTTCCCTTGATTTTGGGTTTGCGGTCTGTTGCAGACCTAGCTAGGGGAGTCACAAAGCCTCAACTTAGGTTCTGGGATCCGTTACTCCCCGAGACTGGCCACCCTAACTCTGAGGTGACATTAGCGTTTGCAACCTGAAGTGACCACAGAAGTCTGTAACTGGGCTGGCTTCGAACACAAGGACCTGCCTACGTCAGATCCCCATTGCTGGAATTAAAGGTGTGCACCACTATGCCCAGACCAACAGAGAAGTTTTTGTTACCAATGAGTAACACATGTCTTAGGCCCAACTACAGCCTACCATATTCATCGGGACAAGCACAGTTAATGGCCTACATAATAAAATGCCCAGGTATTCTTCCAGGCATGGTTGTAGGATGTGACTGGTAACAATGCAGTAAAGAATTCAGGTCTCAGGCCAGTCTCCCTCCATTTCTGGGAGTGCTCTGGGACACTGCGGGGACCCCAGGCTGCTGCATTCTTTTTCCTGACACTGCCTCACGTCTCGGCTTGGGATGATAAATACGGATGTCTGCCACAGGAGGGGAGTTCGAGGTTCGCGCCTAGGTACTTGTCAATCCTAGCATTCAAGAGTAAAGAGCAAGCTGGGTGTTGGTGGCGCACACCTTTAGTCCCAGCACTCGGGAGGCAGAGGCAGGCGGATCTCTGTGAGTTTGAGACCAGCCTGGTCTACAAGAACTAGTCCCAGGACAGGCTCCAAAGCCACAGAGAAACCCTGTCTTGGAAAACAAAAACAAACAAACAGACAGAACTGAGGAGCAGTGGGAACAGGGAAGGAAAAGGG